ACCGAAGACAGGATTTCTTAAATCTATTTATGGTGCTCGTCAGGCTACTCAGTATAGCTTCTTACCGTGAAATCTATTGAATAAGAACATCTTTAGGTGTCTATGCATTATGTCAATGCGTTGACATGTTTTACCAACATTCTAAACAGTAAGCACTGAATGGGTAATAAAATAAACACCAGGAACACGTCAGTTTCTAGAGTCACTGACTCAATCAGTGGAAATGATGTTGATCTCACGAGTTATTAATCATGTAAAGTGTCAGTTCGTACGGAAATTGTTCTAAAAACGTAAACAAGTATCTAAAAGTTGTAGTGACACTCTTATATACTCTTGGTTGCACAAAATACATAACAAATTCACATACTGTACAGGGTGGCAACTTCCAGGTCACGTGACAGCCTCAAGATGCAAATGTAACCTTGGTTACACATATTTTCTTATTCTGTGTCACAAAACCTTTACGAAAATATATGATAATTTTTGCCACCTCGGGTGGCACCAAAATTTACTTTGGCTCATACTGGAAGTGCAAGTATTTTCTTCAGCCTATCTCCATGATTAGGCATTCTCGACCAGACCGTAAAGGATCCGAAGCAGAAACAGTAATTAAAAGCTCAAAAGTGCTGGAGTTGCAAGCGAGAGAGAGGGAAAAAAACTGAAAACAGTATCTTAAATAAGTAAAACGAACCAATCAGACGCTACCATAAGCGCACTACGACACCTAAAGGCGACAACTGTAAAAAAGAACGCGAAGCTATATTTAAGTCTGTTACTCGTAGGTATCCTTGTGGTGTTTTAGTCAAGATCAAATTTTTTAAGCAAAAAAATAACAGTGCAGACGTCTCTCACAAAAAGTCCCCAACCCTGAAGAGCAATGAGAGGCGTCATTATTGGTAGGCTAAAATTTTCTTTGTGCCAGTTACTCAGTCAAAGGCTTTTATTGATTATAATTACTGCTGCAGAAAAAATGCTTTCGTGAAATTTTGTGGAGTTCTTTTATTACATACAAAATTGTCATCAAAATATTTTCACAATGGATGGCTACAACTACAACAATAATCTCTGGCAACTTTCTGGTGTTTCCATCGTCAGTAGCAAAACCTGAGAGGAAACATGAAAATTTGTTACTTAGTACCAGTAAGCAAGCAAGGATTAAACCAATTCAACACTGTAAATAAAAAGTACATGGGATTATATTATATTCTGTTTGTCTGCTGATATACAGTAAGAAAACGGAGAAATCTACATTTAGGAGGGGATGAAAAGGTTTCATGCTGATTTGGTCTTTTGGGGGATGTGGATTACGGATTTTAGTGATATATAAAGCAGATATAATGCATTTGAAAATTCTTGTGGGTTGTAGATCAGCTGAAAATTTTGGCATATATTTTTAACTGTCTGCCTGGAAATTCGGATTGGGGATAGAGTGATTACATTTTGGACACCTTCACTCATGTTTTGTTGATTAAGTGGTAAATCATTACACTGGTTCTGGACTGTTCATCGATTCATTTGATGATTTGAACCTGACTTGTAGGGAGAAACATTCTAATGTCCAACTCTGTCCCTCAGTAAAATATGTTAAAATTAACAAAGCTGTTACGGTTCAAGTCCTGAAGTAACTGCAAAAGCAGAGAAACTTCTGAAAAGTATTTTTCATTTATTAGTCGAGCTTGCTAAAGCAGAGCGAGACTCTGAAAATGCAAGCCTTTCTTGTGTCTTCCCCAAATCGTCAGTCATAGTCCCAGACGTTCCTAGCGGAGACCGTGGAATCTGAGGATAAGAATCACGACGACTTTCATTGTATACAAATGAGTCTCGTGATGAGCATGGGGTTTATTTTCAACGATGACTGAAATGGCGCGCAAAGTCACGATTCGGCTGTTTGGCAGTAATGTAATTTTCCCCAAATCGAGGCCCTTGATTTTCGTGTTATTATTATTACGTTTCTTAGAATATATGTGCAATTACTGGAACTTTACGGTTCGATAGATAGATAATAGATTCGATATTGTAGATTCACTTTCTTGTATGTATTTAATTGATAGATTTTCGCGGTCGTTAAGATGTGAAGTCGCGTTCCACTTTATGAATACCTGAGATATCAATGATTTAACCTTGAACTACTACTGGAAGCAACTTCAACAACCCGTCTGACGTTAGTGTCAAGGACGTGTTTATACGGGTAGCTTTGTACTTGACTGTCACACACTGTAACGTACTGTACTTGCAGCGAAACTTCGATGGTGAGGCTAACTGGTGGGGTGTGGTAAACTTTCATTGTATGTAATGGAGTCTTGTGATGAGCACCGGTTTATTTTCGGCGATGATAGAAATGACGCGCCATTATGATATTCGCCACGTTTCCTAGTCTGCTACACAGCCGTTTTTAGACTCGTCAAGTACGCTCATTCCCACAATCTTGGGGAATTAGCAGGTGGTCATCACGGTGAACACAGGCCCCAGTTTTTTTTGCGGGGCTTTTCTTCCTAAGTCAACTAATAACTGGAACGGAAATTGAATCCAGGGGCTATGTAAGGTTCGGCCTTGCCTTTAGAAGAGATGTTCTGGCCGTGAATGCGAATGGGTCTGCGTGAAACGGCCTTGGAAGTTTGTTTCTCACATGGTGCTTGAACTTGATCAAACCAACGCAAAGAATTTGCATTGCTAATGACACACTTTGCAACCATGTTTTGTATTGTCTGATCAAGCCCTATTGCTCCCTGAGCTCAGTGACGCATGACCGACATGTAAATGGTATGCAATGTTCGTCAACGCACGGAAATACAATGGATTCTACGCAAGTTCCTTAATTTACACCAAAAGCCGTCGATTTATGCACTGAAAGCCAAGAAAAACTCGTTGTCCTTGCTTATACTATGCTAACTCCAGTGCATCTCACCAGATCCTTGTGCGTGGCGGTGATATTTCGGTTAATCCTGGACCTGTTACTAAACAGAAGTCCGCAAAGTGCGAGGAATGTGAAAAAACAATTAGGCCAAATCAACAGTGTCACAAGTAGTATTTGTTTTTGTCTACGGCACATCAAATGTGCAAAACTGAAATCCATCATCAGTGACTGGACGTGTGCAAGTTCTCTTGCCTCGGTTTTGCCCGTTTATGGTTCTTCTATTGAAGACGCATTCAATGATCTGGCCGACGTATACGAATCTACAGCTGAACAACCATCTCAAGAATCCATTCGTATTTTACAAGAAAAGGCTGCTCATTTACGAATCATGCACCTTAACACCCAATGCATGTTCTCGATGTTTAATGAATTCCTTATTACAATTACCTGGGACGGTTTACTCATAATAACTGGTGATGTGAATGTTATTATGTTGCAGCCTGCTAAAAGTTTAACCAAACAGTACCTGTACTGTTTGGTGTACCACAGGAATCGATACTGGGACCTTTTATTTTCAACCTATATGTTTCTGATCTTCAAAAGCACATCAAGTGTCTTTGCTATCAGTAGGCAGTACTGAAACAACCCTCGCATTGAATAAAGCTAAAACAAAGTAGATGCTTGTCTCCACCTGCCAGATGTGTCGATCTCACGCGTTACACGATTATCATCCAGCTGTGAGCTACAATGGGAAGCTACTAGAACGTGTCGCCAAAGCTAAGATACTGGGGGTCCACATGAACGAACATCTAACATGGGCTGACCACACGACTTCCCTTCTTTCATCCTGTTATGCAGCATTGGCGGTTCTCCGGAAATTGCGCAACCTCGCAGCATACCATGTTCGCAAGCAATAAGTGCAGTCATTAGTGATGTCAAAACTGGACTACGGGTACTTCGTCTTCCATTCCCTTCCCAAATACCAAATGAAACGGCTGCAAAGAGTCCAAAAACATGCACCGGCTACGTACTAGGGCGGTATGCTGTTTTAGAGGACTTGTAGAAATTAAACTAGCTTATTAATAGGAGAGACCTTGCACTATTATCATTCATAAAGCCCTCTACGATAATGTTTGGCCTGATTAATTAAGCCTTAAATTCCACACTGTCAGTGCTTGTAACTTAAGATCTCTTGAAGCACCAAAGTTGGCTATTCCAACTGAAAGCGGCACTTTTCAGGATTCAGCAGCGAGATTATTAGATACGTTACCTGATGAGTTAAAGGAAGAGACTGACTATACCATGTTCGTTCGGATAGCGAAGAAGCTCATGTTCTCCGTAGGAGAAAGCGTATCACTGATTTTTATTTTAACTATTATTATTATCATGATCATCATTTTTAACCTCGCTTTATTTTAATTGTACATATTTTTTATCGAACCTTTTTTTTTTCTTCTATTGCATCTCGATTTTTTTCCTTAATGAATATCATGCGACTTTCCTTTTAGCTTAACTTGCTGTTCTTGTTCTTAATTTATTGTATATACCATTTTTAATTTAAAACCGGCTTAATGTTTGTAAAAATATACTGTAGTTAGGCCATTAGTAGGCGAAGAGCGACCTCGTGGAAGTACTATTTATCATTATTATTATTATTATTATTATTATTATTATTATTACAAGCGGCTACTGAGAATCGAACCACATTCCTTTCTCGTTGTGTTTGTGGTCTAACGTCGATTCTCAGCAGCCGTTTGTGGGGAGGAGCGTTGCCTGACGATAGTGAAAACGGCCGTGTAGCAGACTAAACGTTTCCTTGATTTTCGTATATTTACACACGCGTTCTAATCAATTCAGAAACAAATCACAGGCGAAACCGATATACAAAATAAATATCCTGAAGAATACTTGACCGTTGATAAAGTAGGAATTAAAAAACTTTTAGCGAGGAAATCCTACCTTATTGGTACTAATTTTAAGCGACGCGAAAAAAAATTTCCACGAACTTTAATGTCGCAAAATTTAATACCCTCCTATATTTCTTGTTTTCTCAATTTAATGAAGAAACACATGTCTACGTATTGTGTATAATGTGTCAAAGCTCTATGGCACGCGCGCCTACAGAGGATAAACAACAGTTTAACAGTCAAATTTCACTATCTGTGTTGCTTTGAACCTCTTCATCAGTATCACTACCGTCATCTTCAAGTAATTTCAGCACCTCTTTTGTACGGTCATCGAAATGGCCATCTATCCCGGGTTCTTTGTAAATTGAAACGACAATCTGTTTATACTTTTCAAGTATTGCCTTGTTCCTTTCGGTAAGATCCATCTCAGCTGTAACTTGTACAGGAATTTCCAATCCTCCTTGCACTAGGGGAGATCTTCTGTGGTTCTTGTCGATGACTTTAGCACAAACAACCCGCTCCTTCCAGAGCGTGTTGCTCTGGAAATTTCTCTGGGCAAGTGACCAACAGTAGAGTTGCCTAGACGGCATCGAAGGCACTTGGTCACGGTAATAGCATAGAGATCGTAACAGTTATTTCTCTCGTAGCAGCATTTCAATTGCTCTCCAACAATCGGACTCCAAACCTCTTTATAAACGTGAAACCCGCGGAGACCGCACTTAAACGAATACGTGATAATACACCAGATAAACTTGAAAACAATGCCAGTGAATAATGGGGACGCTCACTTGTAAACACAAAATCTGGGGGGAAAATTGGCTATATTTGAGGCCCTATTTAAAAGCCTTCCCTGTTTTCAACGTTCTTAAAACTTGCAGGGAATATTTCTTGACGATTGATCTCGGAATTGTCGAATTTATAAAAAAATTTATCGAGCGGTTTTTGGAAAAATGCGAAATTTTTAGGCATGGACCAAATAACCTCCAAAAACTGTATTAAAAGCAGCTGAATGCAAGTTAATAAAATCCTTCTTACTCGCGATCGCCCAGAGCAATTCCCCTCTTTTTTTGCATGCAGTTTTCAATGGAATCAATCCACTATGAGATGAAGCCGCGTTCCCAAAGCTTATCATTTTCTTAATATATTAGCGAATTGAGCGGCTAGCATGCTATTTCACTGTTTTTATGATTTTTAAAACTTCATTTCAAAATTTTTCGAAAACGCTCTCATAGAATTTCTTTAAACTTTGCCATAATGGAGGCAATTATGGCAGGTACATACTCCCTTAAGCGATTTCTTCAAAAAACTCCTGGTACAGAGAAACACAAGGATAAATGAAAAACGTAATGGCGTCATTACGCTGCCATGGCGACTCCGATTGCAATAAAACCCAGATCATAAGAAATTTTCATCTTTATGTAATACAGTTGTGGTAACCTTTTTTCGATATCTTTACTCATGCTGACGTAGTTAAGGCTCAAACTTGGGAGGTATCGCCCTAAAAAAATCCAGTCGAGCCATGTTAAAGGAAAGCACTGTAAGAGCTTTCAAGCAGGCTTATGAGAAGAGTCTACGCGAGGAGAACAAAAAAGGTAACACAGACGCGACTGTCATTGCTATCCCGAGTTACACCCGTGGGCAGCCACCAATATTCCGTGAACTGGACAGTAAATTAATCTCTCTTCTCAAGAGCATTAGAAGCAGAGGTGGAGTAGTTAATTTCTGTGTCGTGAAGGCAAAGCTCTGGCACTTGTTCATAGTAATAAGACGCCATATTTAAGACAATTTAAGCCTACAGTGACTTGGGTGAAGTCCAGTTATAGGCGCTGCAATTTTACTCGCCGAGTTGGAACAACCACTCGTCCTCCATTTCCCAGAGGGATGTTTGAAGAATGTAAACTTACATTTCTCACTGACATTAACAAGATGATTACAGGGAACAAAATTCCTCTTGAGTTGGTGTTAAAAGCGGATCAATTCCTTGCTCGTACGTTTCCGTCGGGAGAATGACGATGGCTGCAAGAGACGCATCCTCAGTTCCAATTAAAGGTCTGACTGATACGAGAAACATCACTCTAACCTTTGTTGTCACTTTATCAGGAGAATTCTTACCCATGCAAGTCATATACCAAGGGAAAACAACAGCTAGCCAACCAAGAGGTTTTAATTTCCCCAGAGGATTCGCAATTTACAAGAGTCCGAAACATTACTGTAATGAAGATGAAACTCTAACCTTGATAGATAAAGTAATTGTCCCCTATGTCGAGAGGAAAAGAGAGGAGCTCAAACTGGCGCCAACTTAAAAAGCTCTGCTGATCTGGGATGTGTTTAGAGGCCAAAACACTGTAAAGGTTTTGAAGAAATTGGCATCGCTAAATATTGCGATTGTGTCGGTGTTCGCCAACATGACCCACTTCTTTCAGCCTCTGGAAATCACCATCAATAGGGAGGCCAAGAGATTTATGAAGGACAAGTTTACGACATGGTACTCGGACGAAGTAAAGCAGCAGATAGAATCGGGAGGCGACAGCACTGATATTAATGTGGATCCGACACTAACAGTCCTACAACCACTTCATGCCGTCTCATTGATGGACATTTACAACCACCTGAGTAGTCCTGCTGGTGTGCGAGACATCGCGAAAGGATGGGAGAAGGCCGGGATCTCTGGCCTCTAAGATGGACAAACCGATCTCCCTCCAGAAGAACCGTTCACTAACATCGAGCACGCCCTAGAAATTGACTAGAGGCCCAAGAACTTTATGTCAATGGTACACATAGCTCTAGCCTAATTCACGGCTACGACGTAAATATGTATTTTACCCTTGCAAAGAACGTTAAGCATAAGGATAATGTCTTTGACTATGCCTATGGTACACGATGCGGTTTCTATAGTTTGGTTTTCTTATGAGTTGATGATTTTCAGCAAAAAGAAGTGTAAAATAATAATAAAATTCTGGAAATAAAATGTTTTTTTTTTTCATTTTCGCGAAAATTAATTCCCTAAGGAAATAATTTTGCACCCAAATCGCGAAAATAAAGACCCGCTAAATATGCCGACCTTTTTTTCGCGAAATTAAGTGCCCGCGAAAATTAGTACCAATAAGGTATTTCGCGTAGAATTAATCGCCTCCTAGACTGCAAACAGTCCTTCATTTTTGTTTTGAGTCACAGTAAGTCGAGAGGATAATTTTACTTTTTCACTCGCCGGCGTGGCTCTGAGGAAAGAAGGACGACCGCTCACGGCGTAATCGCCTGCGCATTTCTCATCTTATCACCAAGCAAGCGAGACTCAACGCTACTAAGAGCCTTCTTGTTGGTCTTCATTTCAAAATACTATGATGCTACCCTGTCGAACACTAGAGAAGACAAACAACCTCAGGTAAACATTAATTACTTCTTCAGCGAAAAAAGAATAACAAAAACAACAATAACAAACCTACATGTACAGTACAGATGTATGTGCTCATATGCAACATAAAATTATACATGTATAACATTTGATTGGCAGAATGCGCTAGAAGATAACATGAATCGGTACACTCGCTCATTTGCAACTCCCTATTCATCCCCTTCATCTAGGTATTAAATCCAGAAATCAGGTAAAACAGAGCACAACCAATTTCCATGACATTCCCACAAAAAGGGAGCCATTACTCGAGGGGAGGCATCTACTCGAGAGAGGCGATTAGTTTAAATATTGCTCACTTAGAGTCATGCCCTAAATATTTTGCTTTATTTCCCCATCATATAAAATAAACTGAACATGGGCTTTTTAAGAGTTCCAAAGTTGGTTCCTTGATTAATTTTCAGAGCCTGAACCCTCACTGATCAGGTCCCACTTTAACTTAACAGGGAGGGGATGAAAGAAAGAGAAGATGGCGAGAGGGGTAGGGGGCGATTATTCGCGGGAGGTGATTAATGAGGGACGACTGTTATTCGAGAAAATACGTAAGGCAAAACTGCAATGAGATGGTATTAAACCATGCCATGATTCATTCTACATCTCTGATGGGTGATAGTCAGCAAAATTTACAAAGCAACATGCTCATTACCCTCAAGCTTACAATGATCTAACTTCCAGAGTTCGTCCTAACAATATTATCCTTTCTAATCTCTTCAGTGTAAGTCAAAAACACATTATTCCTAGGTGTTATTAATGCTAAACGTTTATTTCCTATAAACGTCACCGGGGTCATGCTCAGAGAGGCCTTTAGTGAGGACTCTGTGATGTCAAATTGTCCTTCAAAATTATCAAATTATCCTTTCCCCTGAATAGAGGCCCGTCCCTTCAATAGAGGTGACAGATACAAAAATTACGTAAACATTTTTCCAGTACCAAATTTTGTGACCCCTGAATGGAGGTGTCCCTTAAATAGAGGTGTCCCAAGGGAGAGGTTCAACTGAAATCCCATATAATTTGCTGCATAATAGGTCTTTCTGTTTCAATGCCTAATTTCCTGGAAATTGCACGAAATTACATAATACGTTTTACACCCAATTAATTATTAATTTTATCGTGAAATATTAATGAAACCTACCTGCAGTTAAGGAGCAGGAGGAGGAGCCATGAGGTCAATATCAGAAAATTCCCTGGCTGCTAGGACAGCAACAATAAAAATTGTGGTGTGCTTTACAAGTTGCCTACAATAAGGAAAACAATAAAAAGTGTGTGCTTGATAATTGCTTTCACAGGGATTCCCAAGGAGACATCACTGTAGTCTGTGCACGTATAAAAAAGTACTTAAAGTTAAATACATATTATACATGTATAAATTCTTGAACTTGATTTGAATGTATGTCAGAGAGCGCTCAACTCTGAGAGCAGCATTGACAATTGTAATAAACTGGTTTAAGACTTAAAGGGACTGTGTCACAGCAGTCCCGTTCAGTTTGTTTAATTTTGCCAATTACTCGCCCTCAATCGCGATGGAATTTAAAGTAACCAAAGAAATTACATGTAAATGACAAAATCAGAGATCCGAGACAAACAAATTTGTCTCCTGAGCATAATTTTTGAAGTTGGAAGCAGCAGGGATCAACTTTGGAAAACTGTTAGGCTGAAGAGTTTTCAAAACCCTAATTTTAATCCGTTTCAATGTTCTCAAGTTTTGCCCATCCGTGGCATCTGTCGTTTCTGTTATGTTATTTTAGCCTTCATTTAAAGTTTTAAGCGGTTATTTTTATGTTTCTCTTAATTTAACGGGCATTTTGTAATTTAATTTCCTAATTTGGCTGAATTTCGTGACACAGCTCCTTTACGAGATAGTGCATCATTTTATTACTACAGCTCGGTTTAAACTGGTTCAAGTATACCAGAAGAAAGCTTGATTTGCTTCGACAAGGATCACACAGAATCATCAGGTAATGACTATGTTTCACCCCTTCATGCTTACAACAACAACAAATTTAACTACACTAGCCACACACAACGAAAGCTGATTTCCAGGTGGGCGTAGGCAAACAGACTTTGCAACAGAGAAAAGCAATAGGTGCTCACTACCGGAATGCAAAATGTTACAAAATTTTAGAGAAGAATTAATTACGTAAAATTGACACAATACAGCTTGTTTCAATATATGTTGGTGGGAGTTTTAGTTTAGTTTAAAATATTGATATCTGTCGAGAAAGAAGTTACATACATACAAACAATAGCATGCTGACAAGAGATGAAAGACTTTTCTGTAAACTCGTAGCCCTAGGGCTCGCGACGCACCGCCCCCAGCCACAAGCGCAAATAGTCTACATATTTGTGACCTCCCTCTCTACTGCTTGGGAGCTGGAAACTAATCGACCGCACTGGCGTGGCAAAACCCAGCCGCGGACATCTCTCTAATTTCCTCTGATTATGTAATTTTACGATGACAGAAGTTCTTAGCCATTTAAGAAGTGGACCTATCCACCAGCTATGTTATTAACCCATTCGCCCCGAACCGCCCGTGCGGATCCAGGTCCTTTCTACCCTTTGTGACGTCATCAGTTTTAACGGTCAAGGACAACTTTCTTCGCTAACTTGTGCAGAGTGAAGAGATCTTTCAAACCATACCAGAATGAGCACAATTCAGTCAAGGACACCGGAGAAAGAAGCAAAAAACCACGTGACACTGACCCGAAAATCTCCATGAAAATCTTGTTCCATTACTCACCTACCTTTCCTGCCACCTAATCCTAAGATCCTAAAAACTTTCCTAAAAACTATTCCCACCAAAATGAAGCCTACTAAATGCCCAGCAAGAGAAAAAAAAAATGAGGCAAGAAAAGCGAAAAAAGAAGGAGGAGAGAAAGCGAAAAGTAAAAGTCAAGACTGCTGTGTCACTTTTAAACCGAAAAACTTGAAATTTTGCTTTCTACGCATGCCCGAACTTTCCAAGCTGATATTTTGCATCTGGATCAGAAGGCCGCGAAGTGTACGACCTGCAAACCGGTTTGTGGTAAGTTTTAGCTCTTTATAGCACGGTAGTGACCAGAAAACCACTCGACTAGGTTCAAAACGCGTTTTTCGGCAAAATCTCCAGGAGCGAATGGGTTAAGCAAAGTACCAAGCTTTTTGAAAAAAATTCAGTTTTCAGCATAAAACAACCAAATCTGTCTATTTCATGTAAAATCAGGTGAAAAAGTTGGTAAAAGGCCATTTTTAGGTTTTTTGATTAACCCATTCGCCCCTGAACCGCCCTTAACCGCCCGTGCAGATCCAGGTCCTTTCTACCCTTTGTGACGTCATCAGTTTTAACGGTCAACGACAACTTTCTTCGCTAACTTGTGCAGAGTGAAGAAATCTTTCAAACCATACCAGAAAGAGCACAATTCAGCCAAGAACACTGGAGAAAGAAGCAAAAAACCACGTGACACTGACCCGAAAATCTCCATGAAAATCTTGTTCCACTACTCACCTACCTTACCTTTCACCTAATCCTAAGATCCTAAAAGCTTTCCTAAAAACTATTCCCACCAAAATGAAGCCTACTAAATGCCCAGCAAGAGAAAAAAAAATGAGGCAAGAAAAGCGAAAAATGAAGGAGGAGAGAAAGTGAAAAGTAAAAGTCAAGACTGCTGTGTCACTTTTAAACCCAAAAACTCGAAATTTTGCTTTCTGCGCATGCCCGAACTTTCCAAGCTGATATTTTGCATCTGGATCAGAAGGCCGCGAAGTGTACGACCTGCAAACCGGTTTGTGGTAAGTTTTAGCTCTTTATAACACGACAGTGACCAGAAAACCACTCGACTAGCTTCAAAACGCGTTTTTCGGCAAAATCTCCAGGAGCGAATGGGTTCGAATCAGCGTTTTCAGACGAGAGCGGGGCAGGAAGGACAAAGAAAACATTCTTGGATTCATCAGAAACAAGCAAGGCACAGATAGCCATTTCAATTGGTTTGTGTCCAACAAGGCGAACTGGCTCACACTTGCAGGGCTGTCACGTTTGTACCAGTCAATCGAGGCTTTTCATGTACCGTGTTCTCGCGGCCCAGGTAAGTGTGTGCACCAGTATTCTTGGTGACAGAGGTCCGGTGAAAAATGCAAAGTATGTAGCAAAGGTGCACCTTGATTTGGCAGCATGCCAGGAGCTTTGCTGATGCCCTTTTGAATGGTGATCAATACAGAGAGAACAGTTGCATACAACAGCAAGCTGAAGTTGCGCCTCACGGAAGGTGGTCCTTCAAAAATTAACCCACCAGTCACCTATGTAATCCCATTCACAAGGAAGCAATGAAACTGGGTGAATAATAAAAAAAAGAAGCTGCTCCTTATCCCCACTTCTTCCTCCCCAGCTTGTCCAGCCCCCCATGATATAACCCAGGTCTGTTTGTTTGGATGCATTAACGGCTGAATTTGTGGAACCAATCCATTAAAAAGGTGACCAAGGCAAGAATCATTAGCCCAGTGTACTTCACCAGAAAGGAGATGGCTTGCCCCCCTGTCTTAAAAATGAAGCTCACGATCGAGCCAATGAGGCTGGGAAAAAGGAACGCTGTTTTTTACCAGTCTGTTGGCGACCTTTCACCATGTTTTTGCCCGGTGATTTCAGGGAATTTGTTACCGCCCCTATGACAATGCCGATCCTCACCCTGGTGGCAAGCACAAAGGCGGTGAGGGTGAAGTCATGCTTTTACTTCGGCGGAGCACGAAGTGAAGGATTCGCGACGCTCAGGAATGTATCAAAGTTGAAATTTTTGGAACAAGATTGGGCATGCAAGGTCTGTAGGTTTTTGGTTTTATTCAGCTATTTGACGAAGTGAGAGCCGAATTAGTTCGAGATATCTCGAGATCACTTCGATTTCTTTGCTTTATTCTCTAACTTATTCGAGGAAGAAAGAATTATTATTTTGGCTTTCCCAAGGTTTGAACCGACTCACCTCAGCCTCGTTCCCAGTGGTCCTGTGACCCAAGGTATTTCGAAATTTGAAACATGCACTAGTTATGGGACAAGATTGGGTGTGCAAGTTCGCGATTTTTTGGCTTGTTTCGGCTATTTCACGAACTTCGTGATATCTTGAGATCAATTCGAATTTAGTCTTCAATTTACTCGAGGAATAAATAGAGGATATTATATGGCCGTGCAGAGACACCAAATTTCTCTTCGAGTGTTGAAAAACATTTCACCAGTGAGCGCTCTTTTCGAACTGTTTTATGATGAATTTAAAGTTACAAAATGCTGCACAAAGACGTTTTGTCTGTGTTGAGTGTTACGTAGTAAAATATTATTGCTTTCATGCGTTGTGTGACCTTCTTGAATAATTAACTAGGGCATGTTTACATTTCAGCATGAGTCAGCAGATTTGCATCAGTTACTGAAATCATAAAATGTGTCGAAAAGCTACCCTTATTCGCCTCTTTAGAATTTCTAGAACCTTATGTCAAATGGTATACAAGTTCCAAGCGAGTTCTCTTGACTCAGTAAGTTTTTTCCCACGAGTCTGGAGTGCTGTGTTTAGTCAAAGTGTGACGAAGGTCGATTTTCAAGTTCTGTGTTTACAAGCTAGCGGAAACCTTAAGATATCTGAAGTTCAAGTGAGAGTTTATTATTGGCAGAGGCTGTTTAATTTTACTTGAGTTCAAGTCAAGTTTGTGTTGGTGGATGCTGTGTTTTAAAGCTCTGTAAAGACTATGTTCCTCTGGTATCAAATTTGCACGTGTTAATCCGACATCCCTACGCGCTGATCGTCAGTGAATAATTATCCTCAAAACATTCGAACTCGTAACATTGAGTTTTAGCCAATTCCATGCTCAACGTAATTGACTCCTTACCAATGCCTTACATATCTTTAATCAGTACATGAGACTGCTATGCTGTTTGTGAAGCCTGATGTAAGAAAAACAGAGAATTCTTTTTCAACTGTTTGTTTTGTTGGACTTGTTATTCACCGCCAGTAACCTAATATTTGACCTAGGTCTAAACATTTACGTCCAAGTCAAATTTAGAAGGATTTGTATCGAATCAGAGACAATTTGCCCCGAAATGCTAGTTTTTGGCAAGTAGGTCTCTTTGATGTTGTTCTTTTCAGAATATCCAGACAAATCCCATAATTTCACAAATTTACACCTTACTCTTACCATAGTTCATTTCCGTTTACTATTCCTCCCCATTTACGATGAATCAGTTCCACAACCACGACGTCGAAGCGAAGCGTCTTGTTTGAATATTTCTTTGACCCTCTCACGAGGTGGCATGTTGCTTCCTGTGAAAGGTTTGAACCCAGGAGTCATTTCAAAAGTAGGTTGAATTTGATCATCCGGTTGAACATAGTCCTGAATAGGACAGATTTTGTTGACAGTGTTTGATATTTCTACAACCTGTGTGGTAGTCATCTTTAGAGTGAGTTGTATCAAATCAGTTGATGTCATTATACTCTGGTTATTGACCTGATTGGTCAATTGCATTGCAATGTTATTGGTCATCTGTAAGTTATAGCCAATAACATCACGGCTTAACTGACAGACAACCATTACTGTAGTTTGATCCCGTTTTGTTTGAATTTTATGTAACTTATCTTTTTTGCCTTGGATATTCTCATTGATTCTTTTTCCCTCTTCAAGTTGTATTTCTTCTTCTTGCTTTTGTTTTCCAGCCTCTACGATTCATTCATTGGCTTCATCAAGGAAGGAAGCCTGTTGATATAAGCTTCATTAATCAAGCTTCGTTAGGCTTCCTTGTTCCTTGTCAAATTACTTTATAATTTAATTAACAACTTCTGTTCACGTTGTATAAGCTTTTGTGAGTGACTAAATCAATAAATAATAAAATCAAAAATGTCTTCAGCTTTTGGGACAAGACAAGACTTGTATTGTTCAAAATGCAACAATGATACCTTTTTCATTTTCTTTATTGCTGTAGTCAATTTCCCCAATTTCTGAAAAATCAGCTTGGGGATACCGTTTCTTAATGAAGTTCATTACCCCTGCATAGGTTTCTTTTTTCTTTCCCTATGGTTACGACGTAAATTGTCTCCCTATGAAGGCCAAGCATTCCCCCCACTCTTTTTTTTCCAAGCAGAGGTTTGTTTACGTCATAAGAGGTTTCCAGCGACCTGCTCTGTTATTCAGGAAACGTGTGCATTTCAATTTGTTTGCCCCATGGTAAGGTGTGGTAGCAGTGCCCGGTTGGAAGGGTTGGGTGCGGTTGACTTCTTCCTCGTCATCGTCACATGGTCGAGGCGCCGATGACTGTTGTTCAACAACAAGCTTGTTAAAACTGTTCTCTGGTGGCAGCTAGCATTTCTCTGAAACAATACCTCAAGTTAGAGTATAAAAAAATTCTTCCAAAAAACGTTTAATTCAAAACTTTGTTATATAGCATGATAAGTTTTGCTATAATGGTTGGTGCTGCTATTCTGTTGCTTTCAATAGCGGCAATTATGTTGCTCATTTTCTCTCTGGAGATTCCTCAAAGGCTTCCCTTGAAAAAAAAAAAAAAGACATGACAAAGCTCTTGAGGCTTACCAAGCCACTTGACTGGATCGAAACCTAGCATGAAATCAAACAGCAGGCCAAGCAGAATTTCACGAACACCGACTATGCATTCAAACTTCTACCATCCCAGTGCTCTGCAAAAACAAGGCGAGTTAATTTTTGCTGGTGCTGGCACTCTTACTCTTGGGTACGCCACTTTTCGTTTTTTATAAATCAAATATATACCATGGATGCAAACGTTGCAAAGATCTACTACAGCCCTCAAGGCTACTGGATAGGCCCCGCAGCCATCAAAAAGTTAGCCCAGGCGGCAAAAGTTTCTGAAGATGCTGCGAAAAAGTGGTTGATCAATCAAGCCCTATGGCAAATATACCTTCCAGCTCCAAAGCACATTCCTTGCCCCAAATTTGATTTGTCCACCCTGAATGCACTTCACCAAGCAGGCCTTCCCTTTTTACGACGACAACCAAGAGCGTGGTCAGGGTCAAAATTGTTGATATTGCCGGATATTTCAAAGAAGCTGAACCGTTGACCTTGAAAGACTCTGCTTTGGTTACGAGCACTTTTCAAAAAATTTACAAATGAGGTCCTTTGAAACGGCCACAGCTGCTTCAGGTTCACCCTATGGGAAAACATAACAAACGTTTGACAGGCACACTGAGATTCACCTGGACCAGGAAATCGTTGAAAGATTTAAGTGCACCCTTGCTGAGCTGTATCTCTCCCAATTCAGTTTGTTTTGGCGCTTTGAACTCCTTTTTCGTTCACCTTTCCTTCCTCATGCTCCATGAAATAACAGTTATTGCACAGTGTGATTCCACGAATGTCCTCAAACTCCAGCTTGAACAGCCCTGGCTCTTGCATGCCCCATTTGTTCCATGCCAACCATTCTTTTTTCCCAATTCTTCTGCCACGTCGGGGTGCACCGCCTCTTCCATTTAATCACATGACAACCTAAAATACAGGCTGTTTTTTGTCCATCTGGATCAACTTGTAGTCGCACCTGTCTACGAAATTGTCATCAAAATAGAATTGCAGGACCCGCAGCTTGGCTATCTAGTAGACCGCGATCCCAACTCAAAAAGGCCTGTCAATCTCCCCTTGGTGCTTTCATATTTCTATTTCGCACACATCACCGATTTCTTCCAAATCCTAAAACCACACCAATTGCAGATCTTTCCTCAAAGCGTTTTCACTCTTAATGTACTTCACCGTCATCTGCTGCTCCACAGCTTCTATCAGCTTGCCATAGGAGCTGTTACCCAAAAGATTGTACACCTCGGCCACCTCGTCCTTGCGCCTGTTCCCTATGACTTTGTCCACGAACCATGTGAAGATCAATTGTAGAACATTTCAGCAGCATAGTCATTCAACATAGTCATTTGAACAACAGGATTAAAGACTAAAAGAGTGTAGACCAGCTTTCGTTGGTCATGCATGGGCTTGCACCTGCTCCACGTCAAGGAGTCTTTTGATGGGCAGTGGCATGGAACCACATGGAATGGGTTTGTTGTAAAACAACAGGGGTATTTCTTCTTCCACAACTCTTTTGGCACCTTTATGTCCACGTAAGCGAATCCAAACCGTCTCTCTGCAAAACTTCAATCAACTTTTCGACGTTCCCTCACATTTGTGGCCAATACACAATGACCTCCTTGCCCAACAATGCCCATTGCAAATAACCTCAATGACAATAGGGGTGATGCGATTTGGAGAGCTTGACGATGTACATTTTTCTGTTTGCTGGCCACTTTGATATCACTGTCTTGCGTGACTTGGGTCACAAAATGCTCTTTGATCAGATTCAAATCATAATGGCCAGAGTTGAAACCCAGAACTGGTATCTGAAAACACTAATGGCTGATGCATTTTTGTTGCTCATCCAAAGAAAATTTGAAATCTTCTGGGATGCATCACCGCATTTCTTCTCGGATTGCCAAGGCCTTCTGTTCTAGCACCTCCCAGAATCTCTGGATCAGTTCTTTGGGATCTTTGCTGCTGATGTGCTCTGGCTCTCTATCCAAAGTGTCTGCCAACGAGACAGACACCGGTACGTGCTTATTTTCAAACAACAGGTTCTTTGTCAACTGCCTGTGTTTGCTCATGTCCTGCACAGTCTCGAATCAAGCATGAAGGCATGTCGGAAAGTTTCCGTTTTCTAAAACCCTCGTCTAGGATCACTTGTCTTCTTCGCAACGTTTGTGCAAACTGCATCTCTCTTGTCAGCTTTCTATGGCCTTTCTTTATTTTTTCAAAAGCAACCACTTCCTTTTGCTGTTTCGGGGCAGGAGAACACCTTGGACACCCATGCCAATGATAGCCATGAAACATCTTTGAAGAAGTGCCATTTTGTGATTCTTCTGCCTCTGTTCTCTTCAACATCCCCCGAAAATTGGATCTTCCGCAAGCCACCCAAAATGTCAATCCACTTTGTTGGCGCCATTTGGGATTGTTCATAATGCATTGAGTGAAAGGGCTCAAATCTTTCCAACCCCCTCACAGGTTTGATGTTTCAACTGTTTTTGGTTCTCATGCGCCGCTTTGGCTGATATACCTGTGAAAGAAACAGATTGAAAAGCCTGCACTTTGTTTTTGAGGCAATCAGTTAATACAAAATAATTTGAAGAGATGGTTCTGCATCCCTGTCCTGCAGAAGCCACTCCACAAAATTGTCCATCATGAATTCAAAAGCACCACTCAGAGTGTAGCCATTATGCATACATTTTGTCAATCTCTAATTGGTTGCTAAGGATCTGTGGACTGGGTGCGGCGATTGGTTTGAAGAGATGGTTCTGCATCCCTGTCCTGTAGAAGTAACCCCAGATAATTGTATATCGTGAATTTAAAATCACCCTCCATGTCGATGAGATCATCCTGTGAGCCCATTGTGATTATGCATAAATTTTTCCAACCTCTAATTGGCTGCTCAAGATCCCTGGCGGGTATTACAAGAGGTGAATTTCAATGGTTGATGTATCCATCTCAAACAACTGCTTTATCACAGGCGGTGTATCCATCGCAGTTGATGTCACCATCACAAATGGGGTGGGCTGGAAGCTCTAAGAGTGGCTCACAGGATTGGTTTAGAAAACAATAGGTAGCCCTAACCAAAAAAAAAACTAACAATGAACCCCAACTCTGGAACAATAGAGCTTCGGGTCAACAAGAACCTATCAAGTTAGAGGTTCTAAAGAGGTTCTGGCCAACAGCACAAATGACATCATGACTGCAATCAATGTTGCCATCGCAACCAAACTGCTGATAATCGCAAAAGATGTCACCAGCAAAATCGATGTGACCATTGCAAATGATTTGACCAACACACGAGACTTGCCCATTGCAAATAACCTCATTATTGCAAATGATGTCACCAGCACAAAAGATGCTGCCAGCGCAAAGTATTTGACCAGTGCACTTGATCATGCCAGTGCAAACAATGTCACCACTGCAAAGGATGTCACCATCGCAAAAGAAGTCACCATCTTGAACTATGTTACCATCACAAAAGATGTGACCGCCTGCTCACAGCCCTTCATCCTGGCCGTGCTACAGCCATGTTCCAAGGCGGGCTGCACCAGTGAAAGGTTTGATTTATTTCTGCCAGGGTGTGCTGTTTTGAGTGGCCGCCAACCCAGAGGAAATCATCATTGGTGAAATCATCCTCGAGAAGAGAAGTCCGCCGCCAGTATGTGGTTGTGCTGCCCTAGTGCTGTCTTCTTTTCCTGCCCCCAAGTAGTAGGGAGGGAGTCACAAATGAGTTGACTTTTTCACACTAGTGGCTGGAGGGCAAGAGAAGATTTTGTCATTGTAAATCACCTTATTCTAGTGGCAAAGTTATATATTAATTGCTGTAAAGAAAAAGTTTAAACCAGTAATGCGGGTCTAAAAAAGCAACAAAAATTGAAGCAATACACAATATAGAAAGTAGAATAGCATTTATGAGGAATAAGGTAGAATACCATAAGAAAAAATGGGAAAAAATCAAATCACATTTAAACGTCATTTAAATGTTCTCTAAATTGAGTTTATCCTCCATCCTTCTCTCTGTTATTTAATTGTTATTTATCGTGTGTAAATATTGATTTAATTTCCAGGGTAAAGTGTAGTGTAGCTCTTATTTTTATGTAAAGTTGTAATGTTAGTCTCAGATTTAAAGATCGTTTGGTGAGTTTGATATGTTTGATTGCCGAAGCCAATCGAAGTCAGTCTAACGACTTGAGTTCGATTGGGTTTGACTACTGAACATTTGATTGGCTACAACAAGAACCAATCATGGCAGTCATGTTGGGGACCTCATGATGACAAAAATCAACTGACTTACAAACCACTGAGTGAAATAACTGCTTCGTAGGCTTCATAAGGCCACAATCAGCGACAAAATTGTTGAGACAGAGAGGAAAAACAGTCCACACCACTCCTCCCTTCCATCCACTCAACAATGGGGTGTTTGTTTTTCAAAGGTGGCAGGCTTTCATTCAAAATACCGAAATAAACTTAAAACTTGGTAGTTTGAACAGCAGCACAACATTGCAAGGAGGGGATATAAGGGGGAAGGGAAACCTTTATTTTCCCTTTTTAAGCTAGCAAAATGTTAGAAAGGCCCCTTACGACAAAGTGTCTCAGCAAATTTTGTCACTGATTGTAGCCTTCACTCAAATGGTTTGTTTTGCATTTTACCCCCCTGCACAGCCTAGTGGTCAAAAAGTTTCTTGCGTTTTTTCTTATACAGAAGCTTGGTGGTCTTTTGCCAGAAAACGCGTTTTGAAGCTAGTCGAGTGGTTTTCTGGTCACTGTCGTACTATAAAGAGATAAAACTTACCACAAACCGGTTTACAGGTCGTACACTTCGCGGCCTTCTGATCCAGATGCAAAATATCAGCTTGGAAAGTTCGGGCATGCGCAGAAAGCAAAATTTCGAGTTTTTGGGTTTAAAAGTGACACAGCAGTCTTGACTTTTACTTTTCGCTCTCTCTCCTCCCTTCTTTTTTCGCTTTTCTTGCCTCATTTTTTTTTTCTCTTGCTGGGCATTTAGTAGGCTTCATTTCGGTGGGAAGAGTTTTTAGGAAAGCTTTTAGGATCTTAGGATTAGGTGAAAGGAAAGGTAGGTGAGCAATGGAACAAGATTTTCATGGGGATTTTCAGGTCAATGTCACGTGGTTTTTTGCTTCTTTCTCCGGTGTCCTTGACTGAATTGTGCTCATTCTGGTATGGTTTGAAAGATCTCTTCACTCTGCACAAGTTAGCGAAGAAAGTTGTCCTTGACCGTTAAAACTGATGACATCACAAACGGTAGAAAGGACCTGGATCCGCACGGGCGGTTACGGCAGTTCAGGGGCGAATGGGTTAAAGAAAAAATAGTGGGTCTGTGAACAGGCTTTCATAAGGCAAGCTGTTATATCTACTGGAGAAATAATGACAAACGTACAACTAAAATCAAACCTAATTTTGTTTACAATTAACAACAAGAGGAAGAAGCAATGAAATGTATGTGTTCATGCATCATGATCGTGTGCTTGACAAGTGTAAAAATTACTGATTTGTGCAGTTTTGTGTTTGAGTTTGCTTTTCCAAGCTCTGCTTACGGACAAATGCTTGACAACAAAAAGGGTATTAAAATTAAGTAAAACTTGGCATACTTGCGAGGAAAACTTAAAGATACACAGGGAGACTCACAATTGACCCCTTCAGTAAATAACATATCATGATGCTCTTTGTTTGTCACCCCAAAATTTTGCATAAGCATTTTCTTCAGTTTCGCTTGGGGGTTCAAATGGCCCCAAGAGAAACTGAAAACAATGCTTTTGCAAGACTTCAGAAATTTTGGGGTGACAAACAAAGAGCATTACGGTATGTTATTGCCAACGAGCCATCTGAGCGAAGACGCTCGGATGGCGAGGCGGCAGCAGAATAGAGCCGCGTAAGACTGGGCAATAGGCAGAAAAATTCTCGATCGAGCTGAAAAAAGTGTAACCCAATGTAATGTAGATTCCTCTGAGACCAAGTGGTCAGTTGTGAACCAATCAAAAGGCAGTACCTGGCGCACTGGCTCAAGCTGAATAACAAACAAAATTTCACACACTTCCCGCCGTCGTGACTTCCTGTGTTTATTTACCTAAATTTTTTCGTCAAACCCGGCCACTGCAGTCAAGAGACATGAGCACTTGATATATTCTATTAATTTTAGGGGCCATAATGTTAAGTTTTAACGAAGAGAAGTTTGTAAAACAGCAAAAGTGTTCTATGTGCAGCAAGCAATATTCTCACCACTAAAAAGGATCAGATTACACGAGGAGATAAGGAAAGCTTGAAACGAAGAATGCAGTCGCTTCTGTTGGAAAATCTGGTGTTGGGGAAAAAATCTAACCAGCAAACAAAAACAATGAGAACAAAAACGAATTACGAGCCTAAAGCGAACGACAAAGGAAAAGAAAACAACGCCATTATTTTCGAAACCTGGCCGAGTTCAGTATAAAAATAATGAACTAAAATTAAATACCGACGTGCCGTACATCGCATGTCCTTGAAAACATTTCAGATGGCCCAGCAAATCATTCTAAGTTTCAATCCGATAACAAAAAGCCTCGGGAAATTTGAAAGGAGGTTTAAATGATTAAACTGTGCAAATATTTATCAACAATGTGAAACCGAACCGACAGTAGATTTGTAGCTGGACTTAATAATATTCCCGATCGCTTCCTCTGCAAAGCTGACTTTATTCTTTCAAGGCACTTCACACTTTTACATAACAGGTTTGTAAAGCCACCAGACTGAATCTGAGAACTTTTCAAGAAAATAATCCTTGCAACAGGAAGGGACCAAGAAACGGGCCAATGGGAAAAAAGGAATTTTACTCCTAAGCAAAATACGCATGATTTCCTCGTTGGCACTCTATCGATAGGTATACCTAGTTGTATTTTCTGGAGTGGTCAATTTGATCGCACGTGGTACCGTGCCGGCCTGTGATTAACGAACAGCACAAACAATATGAAGAGATAAATATGTTAATATGCTTCTTACCATTTGGTAGGATTTCTGTAAAAATCCATAATAAAGGCTCCGGCAGTTGCAAATGTGGTTTTAGAAGGGCTGGATTTTCTGATTGCCTTAGGCGCCATCTTGGATGGTAAACGATGAAACAGGAGAAAACCCTGGAAACGAGTTCAACCTACTTATGACGTAACATGAAATACAGTCGCCGAGTCACGAGACCTTGGAAAGATAGAAGGGTTCCGCCATATTACGTGAGAGTGTGTCGCAACAGTCTTTCTTTGTAGTTTCTTCCTTGAAATTGGTAAGTACACTCGTTCTTTTGTCTAAGTAAGCTTGTACAAAGTTTTAGCTAGAGTCAAGTCACTTAATGTGAGGAATTGTGTCCTATTTGCGGCGCAGATTCCTTACCTTAGCTCTGAGAGTTGGTTAAGCATACTGGATTAAGATGGCGTTCTTTTACCGGGACAGTCTCACTTTTCTCGAGTTTGAATGGAAGCTGCACGTTCAGCTAGTGTTGGTGGTTACATTTCCATTTATCATTAGACATAAACTTTAATTGTCAATGAATTAGATGTGGAAGGTGCAAATAATTTTCCCCATATATACTCGGAAAACTTCATTACGAGACGAAATATGATTATACTGCAAAGCAATATTACTTGTTCTTCAAACTTTATAGCTTGGTTGTTCTTTATGCTCCGTGGTTTAATTAAAGAAACTCTAAGATTTTAAGGCCGATTTCCAATGTAAAACCTTGGGGTTATAGTAGTGCTAAATATAGTTGCAAGTAGATTGGAGGAGAAGCACTTAGCTTGCATGGGTTAAGCTCTCATTTGCACGTTCTAGCCATGATTTCGTGGCATTATGGACTAAGCACGTTGTAGTCATTGGCCACTGTCACGTTCTAACCTGTCTTATCACTATCAACATCATCATGTATAGAAGCAGTTTGATTTACAGCAAACAATTAAAAAGCTTCATTTTCATTAGCTGTCAATCTATTTACTTTATTAAACTTAATAGTAAAAATCATGATCAGGGGTTGATTTGCTTTTTAAAAGTATTCTTATAATATCTCAAGATCAAGCAGAGTTGCCCAAAGAGAGTTAATATCTTCAATGAAAATGATTAGATTAAGAAAAATGTAATTTTTTTTTGTGTAACAACATGATTTATGTTAAAAAATCATTTTTACTTGTTTGCTTTTATGCATAAGTAATTTCAGTACTACTCATCCCTTCAATTTAATTTGTTTAACACTTAACATGGTGTGAGTTCCTTTGTTTTATTCAAGTAAGCTTATTTCTTCAACTGTAATTGTATTTTAGTGGCGTATTGTGTAACATCAATCTATTTGTCTTTCTAACTACCCCTTCTATAGTGGGAAATGAAGATGTGTGATACTTAAAAGTTCTTGAAAGATAATTTGTTGCTGTTTAGCTTTTGTATTTGATATCACTACTCTTTTAACTTGTTCAAGGTATTGCAAGTGGGGAACAGAATGGCATCAAGAAAGAAGGTTCTTTTAAAAGTAATAATCCTTGGTGACAGTGGGTAAGTGATTGAACTTTTTGCAGCTGTCATACTTTAAGGAGTATACAAGTAGACTTTGTTCTAGTCTACTTAAGTAAAACTCAAATTACCATTCTATTTCTAGTTGCAATTCTAAGATTACAGTCTAAATAAATTTGCATGAAACAAACATGGTATAATAGGCAACACTATCCATAGTGCGAATTACCCATGGGCTTTATTGAATTTCCGTATTTTTTTATGTAGAACAAGTCATTGGCAAAAAAATATTTCGTTTTTAATGTAAACATTCGGAGAGCAAAAGTGTTTGGGTTTCTTTTGAAACATTTTGTGTACATAGGATATCTTTAGCTTAGTTTTTTCATCCTATTAGGGATCGTCAACGCCAAAAAGCTTGTGTACCACAGTTGCTTGTGTACAAGCGTTGTTTTAAAAGGGTGAAATAAGAGTTTAAAGCTGATAAAATTGTGCAAATGAAGTCGAACAAATGTTGAAAACATTGACTTGACGGTTCAAACAAGTGAAATTCTGCATAACTCATCTTCCATGTCATCCGACAGAAAATTCAAAGGGATGCTATGATAGGTATGACCAAGCCATTCGAACGGCCTGATGTCTTCAATGAACAGGTGACCGAGTCATTTGAACGGCCTGATGTCTTCAACGAATGGGTGACCCAAGTCATTGGAACAGTTTGATGTTTCTAACGAATGGGCAACTAAGTTGTTCAAACAGATTTATGTTTTCAACAACCAGCCTGATGTTTCTTTCAAACAGGTGACCAAGCCGTTTGAATGGTTGACAAACAGCTTGTAAACGGAAAGCTGTTTGAAAACGGAAAGCCATTAGAGTACGTTTTGCTGTGTAAGGTCACAAATGTCAACTGAAAAGTAGGTTTTTCTTTAAAAACTTTCAACAAGTACGTCCAATCTTCGTGGTTGCACCCACCAACCACTCTTTCTGTCAATTTCTGGTTAGGCTTGTTTTTCTTTAGCGATGACAAGCTGGTTATCCAGAGCTCGAAATTGCGACTGATACGGTCGCCAATGCGACTAACATTTTCTCCTTGGCGACTAAAAATTCTAATTTAGTCGCCACTTTTTTAGTCGCCAAAGTGGCGACCAGATTTCTCTGTGATTTAGAATTAAAAAAGTAAAGTTGAAACAAACATTTCATCTTATCCTGCTTTGCTTTCATCATAAAAAATGTGCCAAATCGCATAAACAAAGCCAGTTTACCTCCAAATTTATACCGAGATCTATCCAGGGTATTTTCAAATCTGATGGATCACACCATACTATACACAGGGCTTCTGATATTTCGCCCAGTCGCGGACCCGCGAAATTCAGGTATTTCCGCAAAATCCCGCGAAATTCCCAAAGAAACACGAAATACCGGGAAATCCGCCAGAAATGTTTCCAAATACATGTCGGCAAAACATATTTAATACTTATCTTGGCTATTAGACCTGTTCTATTCACCCCAAACATCCAAATTTATCTTGAAACTTCGTCACTGCAACGAGTAAATAACGTCTCAAAACTACCAGGCGTTCTTAGGTGAACGTTGCGAAAAACTGGGGACTAACCATAATGTTATTCAGTTTTAGCAGTCGCTCATTTCTCGAGCGAACTCTTGTTGAAAGAGCAAATGATTATCCCTGTTAAAAAAAACGTTAAACAATGCTGGTCATATCGACGCAAAATTGATCGATTTTAGCGAAATTTGCCAAAAAAATCCAGCAAAATCGGCTGTTTTTTACTGATTGTTTCTTGGCGAAGTTTCCCCCAAGAATTTCCCGTGAAATCGGCCGATTTTTCCAAGAATTTGCCCCGAAAATCCTTCGAAATTTGACTTTTTTCCGCTAAAATCTCGCGAAATCGACCGATTTTTCTGCAAATTTTGACTTTTCTCCCGCGAAATCGGCCGATTTTTGAGCGATTTTTGACTTTTTTCCCGCGAAAATCCCGCGAAATCGGCCGATTTTTCTGTATACAGGGCTTCTGATATTTCGCGAAAAAAAAAGCAAAATTTCGCGGGATTTTCAGGGGCAAATTCGCGGAAAAATCGACCGATTTCACCGAAATTTTCGAGGCAAACATAGCCGAAAATCAATTGGTCAAAAAAGGCCGATTTTGTGGTTATTTTCAGGAGATCGATCAGTTTTCCGCTCACTAGACCAGCGTTTTTAATGTTTTTCCAGCAGAGGCCATCACTTGCTCTTTCAACAACAGTACGCTCCAGAACTGAACCAATGGCAAAGCCTTTAACATCATGGCTAGTGCCCAGTTTTTCGCAACATAATCTACACCTTGTAGTTTCGGAGTTTCGGGACGTTGTTTGCACGTTTCAGTGACGAAGTTTCTAGATATTTTTACAAGGTTACGGCAAGTAAATAGCCCCATTAGCTGAGAAAAGTTTCAAATATGTTGTACAGACATGTATTTGATAAGATTTCTACCGAATTTTGCGTGTTTTTGTGAATTTTGCGGCTCTACGACGGCGCGAAATATCAGAAGCCCTGACTATGAGCTGCGTCATTTACATATACAAACTGGCGACTGAAAATTTGCATCTGGCGACTATATTTCTCCAGTTGGTTGCCAAAAGGCGACCTGAGGATTTTTTACATTTCGAGCCCTGTTATCCTTTTGTTGTTTGAAACAATGATTTCTGAAGCCTGTAAGTAAGTTACAGAAACCTTAAAACATTTAAGATTTTGTTGTTTTCCAGCAACTCGGCCACAGTTTCTTGTGTTTGTTTGTGTTCTCACCAAGAAGTGACTCGCATTAGTCTTGCTTTCATGCGAAAACAAACACTCACCCCGGGCCACCTGGGAATGCGAAAATTGCCTATTGTAGTATGGCTATATATTGTGTTGTTATCTGCAGTTGCTACGGGATGTGCAAATCATTCTTTGCAGATACTTTTCTTTCATAAAACTTTTTCACTGAATACAGACTGTAGGTTGATCTCTGTGTAAATGGGGATTGTTAAAGTACTTCCGTACACTTTATCTCAGTCAGGGCATCTGGTAGAGTGTTAAAAAAAGGAAAATAATGTGGAAAATTTTGTCAAATAGTGTGGGAAGTAGTGCTTAAAAAAGCGAAATAGTGCAGAAAAAGCTAATATACATGTAGTGTGGGAATTTAAAGGGATGTCTTCTCCTCTTTTCCTAGCATTTCTTTTACATTACGCAAGTTAGAATCCAATGCTTCTTGAATGCTTCACTTTTACTTTCTTGTTAAATTTGATCAGATACGGAAAACTCTCTCAACAAGAGCCATGTTATTTTTCTAATAAAAAGTATGGATCAGGCAATGCATTGTACAATATGTGACCTTCTTTGGGAAAACATATGCTAACTATAACCTGTTAGCCGTTAGAAAACTAACAGTTATCCAATGAATAGCTAATGGCTTTTCTAACACTCTAACGGGTTGCCCAAATGCTCTGATAAATGTACTTCTTGAGTCGTGTGCCACCCCCTAATTAACGTATCATTAAACATTTGTGTTAGCATGTCAGATTTTACTGGAAATTCAAGCGGTTTGCAACAAAGGCGGCTATTATCAAAACGTATTTATCTACTTGCCAGGCAAGTAATGAATTGTAAAGTTGATACAGTAGTCGTTAGTGAAACCATCACAGATTTTAACGACCAAGTTAGCACTGCTGTTATTGCGAATCTTGCCTTATCATTGCTGTGTGATACCTTTGTTCATACCGTCAAGTCAAACATTAATAATTCATCAAAAGCAGTACTAAGTGGAGCAATGGAATTCTGTATTTTACTGGAAGTGGTCAAACGTATCGGAATTTATTCTGCTGCAAAAAGTCTTTTGTGGTCTTTCATCAGTTTGCAAAATTGCGGGTTTAAAATCGTCAGTAAGTATTAATTTTTTACACACTTTCCCTCAGTTGAACTCAATCAGAAATCAAGACAACAATTCTGCCTAGTATGAGCAAGAAAGCGTCTTAGAAGAAATTGTAGTGTCCTTACCGTTGACAAATAACAACTTCTCTTCTCAGCTGTCAAAGTTTTTCTCCGTTAATTGTCGACTTGATTCATTAAAAAAGTATTGATTTTTTTTCTTTTAAGACCTAGCTTTAAAACCTAAGCTTGCTGATAAAAGAATTCCTGTATAATCTTGTGGTCTCTGTCCTGAATAAAGACACGAAGGTGACAAAACCTGTCTAATAGCACCAGAGGCCAATCAGACAAAAGTCCTCATTCTGGACCAGGGGCAACAGGTGCTGGTAGTTACTGTTGTACATCGGACATTGTCCGTCTAATGTTACAGTAATGTTCAGACATAATGTCCGAGCACTTAATTGACTTAGCTTTTGTCTTAGATGCTTTTTTACATCCCTGAGTTCATTTCGAAAACATTAAAAGGTAAAATGCTGTGGAGGAAAGGTAAACTTTGCATTGCAGTGAAAGCGGACTGTTGCAGAAACACAAAAATGGCTAAGTATTGTACGGTATTTGTCTTCCTATCTGGCAAAACAAAGCAGCTCTCTTTGCCAGGGAATTACTGGGCTCTACTTTCTATATATGGAAATCTGATTTATGCAACTGAAAGCACATGCTTTGGAACTTAAATGGCTGCCTGCTTCAATGATCCAAAAGACGAAGAAAGCTTTGTAAGATGAACAAGAAAACTTTCCGCATGATTTCTTTGCCAGTTTGAACAACAACCAGAAGGAAAAGCATAGTTCAAAAGTCAATGTAACCTTAAATTGGGAGAGATGAAAGAAGATAGCTTCACAATAGTGCAAATGATGACTACCTACCTTTGAAGTTGGCTGTGAACTCGTAGCACACATAAAATCGTGTACACCATTTTTTTTTTTCTGAACTGAATTTCCATTTTAAAAACTACTGTTGTCATGGGCACTCTTTCTTTCTGAGCATGTACAACAATGTAATGAAACAAATACAAAATTAATAATTGTGTTGTAGTTAGCACGGAAAGCATTACCCAAAACATCAACTAAATTGGAAGAAATGTTCTAAACCAACATATCATTTTCCTGAGTTACACCAACTGCCATCTGAATAAAAATCACATTCAAGCAAAATTTAATGAACTTGCGAAAGATTAGCAACAAAAATTGGCAGAATTGTTCAAATTGGTGATACAAGGGTGAAATTTTCAGGATGTGCCCTTTAGCATGTAGATTTATATGCCAATGAAATGCTCATAAGCATATGTTTTAAGACGTTCTCCCCAGGTGGTCAGCAGTTATGTATTGTGGGCTCAAGGCCTGCAGTATTTATGCACAAAACTCAACGAAATGTCGCCTGAAATGCCCAAATATAAGTACAAGAATCATTTTGTGTGATAAACCTCTAATATATTTTTTGGTCCAGATAAAATGGCCTTTTTAAAAAAATATCAGGGTGGTAAGAAGGACAAGGTGGCAAGGAATGCCTGACTGTTTTTTTAGAGGTGTGAGATAGGAACTGACTGTTTCCAATGTACAAACTGTCTGTTTTAGACTGGAATAACTAATGTATTGGTCAAATCCCGTGATTAAATGTATACTTCAACATTTCCCACATAACCTGGGCATTTACATGTAACACCCTTGCCTTCCCTCGGGGAAGTGAGGTTAACCATTAGCTGTAAAACAGCCAAACATGGAAGTATTTAACTGGAAGTCATAAAAAGCCATACAAATTTTTTCCTAAGACAACTGTAAAACAATGTCATAGGGAACCTCAGTCTGATGCTACACATGCCAGACATGACCTTTAGTAATGGAGAGCCTCTATTGTCAGTTTCTCAAAGACTGATATATTCCATGTTGATATCAGAAATAAAACTCAATGGAGATTTGCTGTACAAATTAGGATTATCCATTATGTATGGCAGTGTGAACAACATTTCAGCATTTCTAGGAAGACCAAGGAAACAGTGTCTGAAATTGACGCATAGTGTGTCCTTCAGAAATAAAAAGTCACTGTTTACTGTTGGTAGTGTGGACAACATATAGGACCTGAACCCAAAATCCCTTACAGCCAAGGAGTCAACTAAAATCCAACTCTTAATTTACATAAATCGAGTGTAAATGAATATTGACCAATGAAATAGGAAAACTGTTAATCTACCTACGCCTACTCTGTTATTCAGCCACATTAAGGAGCAAGCATCGAAGAAAGATAACTCTGTTCCTAACAAACTCACTTATTAAATTTTTCATGCCTCAAATGCGGTGCTTATTTTGAGGGTGGCGTTTATTTACCAATAATAAACAGTGACTTTTTATCTTTGAGGGTACGCTAATTAATGACCGACCAATTTGTGAATATGTCCTTTCAAAATAAAGGTTTGAAAGGACACGTCCTTTTAAGTAAGAAAAATTATTTCCAGCACTCGGCAGACTATGCACAAAGTAAATGTATCAAGCATCCCTTTCCCCTCATCTCCCAAACAAAAAGGGAAGAAGGACACCTGATCACAGCTTAGTGTAACATGGACACCTCAGTATTACGGACAGTTTAATTTGCCCCTGGGGAAAGAAATCCCTTAGATTTTCTCTAAATTCAACCCGCTTGATGTGGACACCACATTAATACAGACACTATCTATGGCCCCCTCAGTGTTTATACAAACGGGGGTTCTTTAATCTTTAATCTTTAATCTTTAATCACAGTTCGTAACCATACATAACTGATACAAATGAACTAATACTAACATATACAATCGAACAAAAACACTAAAATGGTTAACAGGACGGTAGTAGGGGGAAACCAAAGTCCCATGCTAAGACATAACCTTCCAAAAAAGAAAAAAGAAAAAAAAAGAAAAAAAATAATTAATTAATATATAAACATATATTAAAAGACTATAAATTAGACTATAAATTATAAACCTAGATGCCTAATAATAATGTATAAACTTATATTAAAGACACTATGCCTAATATTTTAAGGTAAATTATGAGCGAAGGTACTTAATTAGTGAAACTTTAAAAGACTGAAGGCTAGGAGATGACATTACTTCAGAAGGCAAAGAGTTCCAATCATTAATATATCTATGAAAAAATGAATATTTAAAATAATTTGTACGGGCAACTTTAGGCCTTATTTTATACTCATGCTTACTTCTAGTTCGAGTTATTCCAATAATATCAAAGTAATGATGGCAATTGATATCACAGTAACCAAATATAATCTTATACGTTTGAACTAGGCTAAGATATTTCCGTCTCAGTTCTAAAGAGTCCCATTTTAACTCTAAAAGTCTTTCAGGATATTCTTTGTCAGGGCCACATATTAGTCGGGACGCTCTTCTCTGAATTGCTTTGATTGCCTTGGTGTGTTTCACCAGATAAGGATTCCAGACTGGGCAGGTGTACTCGAGGATAGGTATCACTAGCACCTTGAAAGCTGTCTTGATACCAGTCTTGTTTGAATAACCAAATGTCCTTTTAATCAAGCCCAACACCTTGTTAGCTTTAGCACAAATTGAGTTAATGTGATAATCGCATGATAAGGACGACTCCAACCAAAGTCCCAGGTGTTTGTGGTGGTCCACTTCCGGTAGTAAGATGTTATTCAACGAATATTGACATCTTATTGGATCATTCTTCCGTGTAATGTGTAGGACTTCTCACTTCTCGGTCTTAAGAGTAACAAGCCAACTCTTGCACCATTCAGAGGCAGATGTCAAATCCTCTTGAAGTAGATCGCAATCCGATCTATTTTCTATGTGTCGATGAAGGACAGTATCGCCAGCAAACAAATCTGAGTTGCAGGTTACTGAGTAAGGAAGATCGTTGATAGGCTTTTAAGCTTTAGAAGCTGGCTTTCCACAAATTTTGATTTTTTTAATGGTAAATTTTGAATGTTAAAAAAGTTTGACCAGGGGTAAACTACAAAATGAAGATCCTATAATCCTTTTCTTGTCTGTTGGCATCTGAAAAAGTGAATAAAACTGCCTTCTTGGTGTTCGTGGACTTCAAATTAATTAAATGCAGTAAAACCTTTATCACGTGGTCACCTTTGGGACCTTCCCAAGTGTCTGTTTAATAGAGGTTTGTAAAAATTGTGCAATGTTTGTTAACAATTAACATTCAACGGTTACTCTGTACTGTGATAAAGTTCCATGTTGGTAAGGAAGCTAAGGAGGCTGTGCTGTACTTTGTGCAAGACTTTTAGGTGAACTTTGATTGTAGATGACAGTTGTATGGCCTGATATCAGTCTAACGTACAGATTGTTGATGGTGAAATGTATTATCTTTATTAATTGACTACAGTACGTATTTCAAAGGCATAATCAAATACTACTATTGACCACTCCAAAAAATACCATAACATACCATAATGCTCTTTGTTTGTCACCCCAAAATTTTGCATAAGCATTGTCTTCAATTTCTCTTGGGAGTTAAAATGGCCCCAAGAGAAACTGAAAACAATGCTTATGCAAAATTTTGGGGTGACAAACAAAGAGCATTATGGTATGTTATGGTATTTTCTGGAGTGGTCAATTGTCAATTCAGTTCAGTGTCTGCTTAATAGAGGTTTTTAACAATAGAAATTAGCCAAATGCAATTTATCCAAGTGTCTGCTTCCACTTAATAGAAGTGTCTGCTGAATAGGGATTCGTTATGAAGGGAAATATAAGACATTAATTTCGGGACCTGGGTTAGTGTCCGCTTATAGGAGGGTGTCTGCTTCATTGGGGGTCTGCTTAATAGAGGTTTTACTGTATTGGGTCTTCGATTTTGGGTCTTTGGTCTTCATTTTGTAGACACCCATAATGCAGCTGGAGAATTTTACATGTGAACTCCAAAGTTTTGCACGCACTGCCTTCTGCTTCTTCAAGGTTTGTTTAAAAAAGCAATCAGAATCTTTAAGCAGGTATCTTGATATTGTGAAGACAGAAGCGCAGCCTGATACAGGAATAAGGAATGCTAATACTTTTCTAACATAAATCTTTCGTTGTTTGAGCTGATGTTAGTGATAGCTGTTTAAATGGTTTGTGACTTTTTTGCCGTCTTAATGCTTTCTGACATCAACTGAACAAATACTGTTTGCTGTTTAAACAGCTTGTTATATATTGCTAACAGATGGCGATTACCATTTTAATGGAATGGGGAAAAACGAAAACGGTTTGTCTAATGGATTAATGCTTTGATAAAGCGTTTTAACATGTGAGGTCACATATTATCCTGCCATTGTCTTTGCTGGTACTCAAATTGAGCCATTTACATGTAGGAGAAGAACCCAAATACCTTACTTTTTTGTCTTAGTGGCAAAAGTACTGTAAGAAAAGTCAAGTGCTTACTGTGAAAATGGAAGTAATATGTTTTTATGTGGGATAAAGGTCAGAAGTATTTGTGGTTTTTATAAGAGAATTCAACAAGGAAGGCTTTGTATCTTACTTGGCCACTGGAGTGTGAATTTTCATTCTCATGTTTAATCATTCTTCATGTGGAAAAGTGTTTTGCCAGTGGACCTTTCTTTCATGGTTCACCTGTTTTGAAGTTGGTGACCTAAAGCTCGAGTGTCATACTACAACAGAGCCAACAGAATGTTGCGTTTTGTAGTGCAGTTGCCCAGGAACATTAAAATCTGGATGTCATGCTTTTTCAAAGGTCACTGGACTATACTTTTTGGCTGATTTCCATGTCTTTCCAACTTTTTGCAGCATATTCTTTATCTCTGTTGAGAACTGAAGTTGACTTACACACCTCTAACCTGCAAATGCTTTTGAATAGAGCTTTTCATGATGAATTTGCAGTTCCTTTACTTTAATTTCCTTTCTTTTGTTTTTTTTTTATCAAGGGATTGTTTCAATCACATTTTCGAAAATGTTCTACACAATTAAAGGAAAAATACTGAAAGTGCTGGCAAAAAACGTGAATATTGAAGGTCTCTGATACAGTTGAACCTTCATCAAGTGGCCACCCTTGTGGTACCGGCAAGTGGCTGCTTAACAGAGGATTGTCACTCATTTTAGCGTAATCTCTAGCAGAAAACCAAACAAACATGTGACGGAGAAACATTACTGGTGCACAGTTGGTCATCAACTTCTATCTCAGACTGTATTTTCTCTTCTTTTCTACAATTCTTGTGGGTTTCTGATCACTGACGGATTAATAAAGGGCGGTTGCTTGGATGTTCAACTGTAGACATTTTTCTGTGAAAGATGTGTGGCACCAGATAATTCTGACAGTATCATATTCTTCAACCTTTTTGGCAACCATTAAGTCATTATCTCTATTAAAAATTAATTGAAGTTAAGACAATCATATAGTTTCTGTATTGTGTTGCATCTTTTATTACAGTGTACTAGTGTTTAGAGAAGGGGAAGATGGTTAGATTGCATATTCATTGTAGGCATTCTCAAGAAGCAGGGTGAAACAATTGACCCTGTTGTTGGTTTTTGTGTAAATGTGTCCTTAAAAAAATAATTTAAATTGCCCTCTGTTGTTTGTTTGTTTTGTTGAAAAGGGTTGGTAAAACATCACTCATGAACCAATATGTGAACAAGAAATTTAGCAATCAATACAAGGCAACAATTGGAGCAGACTTCCTCACAAAAGAAGTTATGGTTGATGACAGACTAGTCACCATGCAGGTTAGGACTTATTCCACTTCATTATTCTTGCATTCCTTTGTTGTTGTTGATAGGTTACCTCTTGCGAAACACAAACGTCTTAGCTTTGTTAACTGAGTGGATGAAGTCAGTTGGCCAACTTAAGGGATTCAAAAGCTGACATCTTGAGCACAGATTTTGACAGCTTTTGAATCCCTTCATTTTGTCAAAGAAGTGTTTTACTTTCCCCCCAAGCCCCAACACAGCTTTACACTGTTACACCTTTAGAAAGTACCAGAAAAAACTAACAAATAAGCTGCCATGGCAGATAAACCAAAACCTGAGTCTGGAAGCTTGAAATTGAGCAGACACTTGTTGTCAAAATGTGTAGTGTAGCCAGGAAAAAAAAACTTGTATTTTTTGAATGTAGACTTTGTAATGATAAAACAGTTTTTATTAGAATACACAGATTTACAATTTACTATTCATGAAGTGCTAGTATTGAAAACGCTGTGTATTTAAGATGCAAAAGCATGCATGAAAATTATGTGAAATTATATGGCTCTAAAATTCTATGAACACAGCTTGTGTACTTTATGTTACCTGGAAACAAGCTTGTTTTCAACTATGGCTGAACATCAGTGACGCAGCATACTATTCTTGAGCAGTCATGGGCATACCTGCCAACTCTTCCAGTTTTCCCAGGAGTCTCAAATCTCCCAGGAAATACCTACCGTGGGCTTTTTCATTTTTTTTTTCATTAATTTCGTTATTTTGGAGATATCAAAAAAGGAAAATAAAACAAGAGGTGGATTTAGCGCTCTTATTTGAGCTGTTCTCGATTGGAAAATGTATAACAGAGCATCGTCATTGGTTAGAAATCAACCAATCAAATTGAACAATACGTGGTAGAAAGTTGGAGCGGTTTTCAAATGCTGTTATCGACATTGGGAACATTCAGAAGGCCTTTGGGTGATTTTCAGAGAATAGTTAGACATTGTTGAAAATGACATTCATTTGTAGATGTCTCCAGATTTTTGTACTGCGGGGGCTGGCAGACGTGCCTGGGTGTGAGCTGTTGCTTGAGTAAATAGATGTAATGGTATGTAATGGTGGAAGAAAAGAAATACTCTGTAGGAGATTTCCTACAGCCCTCTCCCAGAAGAATAAAAAGGCTTAATGGCTAAAAAATATTTTTAGTGCTACATTTCTGATTTGTTGATATAATTGTTGTCTCACATTTACGTGTAGCTCAATCCCTTAGCTGAGGTTTAAGTTATGTCTACCTTTCTGTTAAATGTTTGTTTGTTTTGAAATATCAGATATGGGATACTGCAGGTCAAGAAAGGTTTCAAAGTTTGGGTGTGGCATTTTATCGTGGTGCTGATTGCTGTGTTCTTGTTTTTGATGTAACACAACCCAGTACCTTCAAAACCCTTGACAGCTGGAGAGATGAGTTTCTTATCCAAGCAAGTCCAAGAGACCCAGAGAATTTCCCCTTTGTTCTCCTTGGAAACAAAGTTGATTTGGAAAACAGAGCAGTAAGTTGGTTATTTTATGCATGCTACTAAGCTGTTGTTTCCCTCTTTTCTTTTTGTTTTCTGTTTTTTGTTTTTGTTTTTAGGACATTGCAAAAGTTACAAGAGCTTGCGCTGCTTCTACCCTTAGGGTTGCAGGGTACACCTTGGGCTCATTGTGATGCATTTTATTAAAGCGTATGCATGAAATACAATGACTGATGTGATGTGAACAGGTTTATGAGATATTCATAACCGGATAAGAGATGAGTGCATAATTTAAAGAGGTCACATGCACAGGAGTCTCAAAATTTCGGTGACCTATGACAATTTGTGTCCAAGAATTCAGTGCAGATACAAAACTTTATGAACTGGCATGGAGAGGGTTGAACTTGGTAAATTTAGCTGTGTCATGTGAGGAGCGGAATTCTAAAAGGACACAACATATAAGGTGTTAATTCTAGGGAAGAGAGATTTTGCTTATTTAAACAATCATCTTGCTTGCAATCTTTAACTTGTAAAATCTGCTCTATATATGACACACTAAAGGTCTTGACTGTTCTTTTTAAATAAAATCACAGAGTTCTGTCTTCTATTCTCTCTGCAACTTGGACACAAAATAACTATTTCTCAATTTGGTGCAACTGTGGGTTAATGCATTGCTGTAAAACGCGCTCTACGTAATAAAAAAACAACCCTGCTAAACTTCCATCATTCCACAATGTCGCTGGAGCAAAATCTTAAGCCAAAACAAATTAAGCTAAGTACTGTAAGTCAGCATTGCGTTGTTTATATACTCGCCTGTGATATGTGTGATGCAGATTATGTCAGTTACACAGCCCGAAACCTTCATCACTGGTATTCGCTATGCGTAACCATTTTTTAGAAGCGCACAGGCTGTCGTGCCATGAAGAATATAAATGCAAACCATTCAGTACAAGAATCAGGTCTGTGCAATATTTCATATGTGAGATATTTGGCAAAATGTGTTACGCAAAATTAAGGTTTTGTACGGAGACGCCATTTGAGGGGCACAAATATAGCTACCGGAAACAGACAGAAACACCTGTCTTTGACTTTTACGTACATATTACATGCATATTTTATTGGCTCCTCCCCACAGGGCTTTCTCGAGTCAATGTTTCGATAATAATAATAATAATAATAATAATAATAATAATAATAATAAAACATAGTTAAACACAGAGGGCTAAAAACGTGAAAGATAACTAACTAAAGAAGATGTCCAGAAGTTGTTGCCTAATTCGATCCTTAAAACTAGTCACTGATTCATCTTGTTTTCCACAAGTCTACAGGCGAAATTCTGAACTGCTTGGAGATTGTCCATATGGATTGAATAAAGGCGTTTAGCTGCTGTAACACCCCATGAACGTAGAAACTGAGAAGAATTATAATAATAACGATGATGATAATAATAAAATATTTATATAGTGCTTATACTTTTCAGTGCTTTTAAATTCCATATAAAAAGTAAAAATCGTAGAATAATTTACATATAATTTTTACAATGTAGCAGAAATTTAAAAAAAACAATGATATAAAAGATAGGTCTTCAACTTAGATTTAAATCTATTTTCATCATCGATCGGTCTAATATCAATAGGCAGATTGTTCCAGAGTATAGGGACAATGACTGAAAAAGCCCTGGGATCGTAGGTCTTTAAGTTATAGGGTTCAATAACAAATCATTACTTGTCAGAAGGTGAGCAAAGGCACGTTGCAGGTTCATAAACATGCAATACTTGTACCAGATAATCCCGAGGAGGCACTCTAGTAACTCGTACGTACAGTTGAAATATACAGTCATACAGTCAATATAGAAAAAATCTCGACTTGCTTGAACAGGGGCCGCGAGGAATCGGTAGGTAATGATGACGTTTCTATTGTTTGCGCCCGCAAGTACGAAATGGTTAGGATGACGTAAAACACAAAAAATCCCGAAGGGACCGCTTACAGTAAAACGTGCCCCGGAAAATTGTAAATTGCTTTTCAGGGGCACCCAACGGCAATTTTCGGGAAAATATCTGTTCGGAAGACGATTTGAGATCTAGAATTTTCGGAACATTTGTTGTAAAATTTCTTGCTTGCCTGCCTCTCCTATGATTTTCGAACATATACAAAATGGTATAATTACCCATTTTTAACGGATTTTGACGATAAAAAAGGCCACCTAGAATTTTCGGAAGCCTTTTCCTGGCTGAAATTTTCGAGAAGGTAAGTTTTTATCCCTATAATTTTCGGATCACTAGACTTTCAGCTAGGAAATCCGAACAGATGAAAAGTTTTTAGGGGATAAAAATATGCCTATATGTACCGTTTGAATACTAAAATACGTTCAACAATGCTATGTTAGTTGGTTTTGAACTATATCCTCGTTGGGTGCCCCTGGCTTTTGTTTACAGAGTTACATCAGGCGCTTGTCTGGCAGCTAAAAAGCTGATGTTATCCGTCGTATCCTCGGGTGGTTGAAAGGAGCTGCAAGAATAAATAGCAATGTGCGATGGTGAAACACCTATGCCTAGAAATTATCAAGCAGCAGCAAATTCCACCACTTCCCAGAGAGCCCGTGAAAGCTGTTACAAGTTAAAAAAAGTGAGAGCCTTAGCAAAGGTCAATCCCGTTGGCGAAATATGATGGCGCCCGCTTGAGCTTAAGACATTTCAAAAGTGAGAAAATTTTGGAAGAGGAAGCGAACGAATTCCAATCACGTACGCTATCGTAACCGCCACAAGCAAAGTCAAGCTTTTTAAAAGCAATGGTGCTGTCGGCTATCTCAATACATGGCTAGCTCGCTGTATTTCCATTTACAGTAACAATACCCTTTTAACGGCAGGGTGTTGTAAATCAGGACTTAGATATCTGAAACACTGATTCGTCGTCTTTGTCCCGGTCTTGTGAAACCAATACTCGGAGACAGTTTCGGCATAAGCTGGTATATGAGGCTTTCCCATACTCCGAGTACATCTTTCCTTTAAACTACGAGGCCTTGAAAACACAATTCTTGCTCGGGTTTTATTTTTATTCCAGGAAAGAACTTGAGAGCGCCCTCCAGAGCCTTTTGAATTCCTCTCTGCGTCTGTGTCCATAAAAGTATCACATACCGGTAACATGAAATCAAAGCATCTATGAAAAATGTCAATGGCTTCTTGCCGATCGTTCTTGCGGTCGGTGACGTCAGTGGGTATTGTGTGTTATCCAATCACTGCCACATCCAGATTTTGGTTGTGTCACACGATTTGCTGAATGGTTTTGTGTCAGGCCTTCCTTTCTCTTCTGCCCCTCCCCCCTCCCCCATCTCAAATCTCCTCTCCCCTAGCCTCTTAGGAAGGCCTGATACTCAGGCTATGTAAAACTTATTGTACAATGTAATTTCTAGATGTTTCTCACTCTGTTACTGTATGTGATATTAGTTATATTGTTGTATGAAGATAAACTTTATGCTTGGGTCGCTACATAGGCTTCCAACTTTACTCTGAGAATATGGCTGAACCGAATATGGTCAAATTAGGACTGTTCCATATAATTTACTGTAACTTTTGCCAGGACACACATTGTTAATAAATCGGGATTACTTGGGTTCTACCTATTGTAAATCCCAAGTTCAGATTAAAGAAAGACAACATTCCCATTGCAGCCAAAGTTTTATTAGTTCCCGCTAGATTTAAATGCCCTCGGGGCAACATTTTGTGATGGTAGAAAGTTATTTTTCATGGTACACAACAAGCTTCACTGGATGACACTTGATAGAAAAGAAGCAAGTGTAGGCTAGCAGACATATTGCATGAATAAACCCGGAATTTTTGCTGTTTTTCATTTCACCTATAGATAGAACAATTATAACCCCCCTTCCCTGAAATCACTGTCAATAGCGTCCCAGAAGCATAATGGTTAAATGTCATGCATGTTTCTGTCTCTTTGTCTTCCAAGTCTGTCTTGGACTATCTTTGGTCTCAAACATTCTTGCAATGTTAAATGATGCAAATTTTTGTTGACGTACCCTTCTAGGTTTCTGCCAGACGTGCACAGGGGTGGTGTCACTCAAAGAATGACATGCCATACTTTGAAACAAGTGCCAAAGAAGCCATCAATGTTGAACAAGCGTTTCAGACTATAGCGAAAAATGCCCTCGCTCAGGAAACAGAGGTTGAGTTATACAACGACTTCCCAGACCAAATAAAACTCTCTGGAGACAACAAACCAAGATCAAATGACTGTGGTTGCTGAATAGACTGAATCATAGTTTTACATGTACTGTAGTTCTTGAAGATCTTGTCCTAACTTGCAGATGAAATTTCTCCCTTATGAAAGAGACATATTTTCTTTCTGTAACAAAATGGTGTTTGCACTGACTGGTTATTAAAAAAGGCACCACAGACTCTAGAAAAATCAAGTCTGACTGCCTTGCATCTTGACAGTGCAGGGTATTCAGTTCAAGCCCTTTTACTCTGATTAGTGTTGAAAGTAAAATTTAAGTTTATTTTCGTTGCTGAAATTAATAATATCCACAGATGAGTGAGACTGCATGGAAGTGTTGCTCTGTTCCCAGCTGGTCAAGTGTTGGTTGTGTTTGGTTAATGGTATCCTTTGGATACCATGGACCCATCACAAGTATCTCTTGTCCACCCAAACGATCCCAGCAATCGTTGTACCAATTCTCCCTATAGTTTATAACATATAGAGTGGGTAGTGCCTTCAATAATGGTTGCACGGTAGGATTTATCTACAGAATTAAAAGCTGGTATTTATTTTCTCATGGAGTGAAAGGGTTTCACCAAATGCTTTTTGTTTATCTAAAATTTTCCATGTGAAAAAGTGTAGCATTTTGACATAAATGGGAGGGAGATTGACATTTTTTCACACAATTAGATTGGCTTAATTATCATTTACTTGAAATGTATTATTCCATGATCGCAAATTCAACCAACAAATTACTACTGTTTACTGTATTGGTAGATGCTAGGATGAAACGTACAATATAATAATTCAATAAAAACTAAAAGTTTGGTATACATTGCCAGCATCTTACTTTTTTGTGTGAGAAGATAAAGTCTACTATCATGGTGGTTGAAGAAGAGGAAATGCTGTGTTTCTATGAGAGGTTCTATCTAGAAAAGGGTAGTAAAACAAAGACTGTACACTGGTGACAAACTTTGTAATAGTCCTCCTGTATATAATTTTTGTCTGACTCCTTATCTTCGCGTTTCTCGTAGCCTGCGAACGGCAGACGTTTCTCCTTCCTCATCGCCGCTGAGAGACGTTTGCTACCTTTCCCGTTCTTCTCTCACGTTTATTTTTCATTTATTTCATTTTATTAACTTTACCAAAGACAATGCGTACAAACTCTCAATAGACCAGTTCTGAGTTATTAAAATTCAAACTTAGCCCCAAGGGTGATGGGTACAAAATATTTAAGAAATCATATTGATATTCTGACATTTCTTTTATTTCCCGAAAACCTCGGAGTTAAATATCAATTTCAATCAGTAATTCAAGAGAGGCTAAGACATAACAAAAAGTGGCCGTGACACCACATAGCGGGCGAATTAATTGTCTACGCTTTACTAACTCTAACCTCTACATTTGAAATCTATATGTAGGAGCGCAGAAATGCTATTTTCAGTTATTTTCATAGGGTATTACAGTAAGAGGAAATCAAGCTCAAGGACTACACACAATCTTTCAACTTGACTGGTAGTTGTGGGTTCCAGATACAACCTGATTCCCAAGGTTCTCTCCTGTAATAGCTACTGCTGTCATTTGCAGTGCCATAGCTTGTTTTGGGCAAAGTGAGGCCCTTGCCTCATCTACATAGTAACCCAAAATTAATATTGTCCAGATTGGTTTCTCTAAGGTACCATGATTTATGTTATCGTTAAGGAATTCTTAGGGCCAACACACACATGTCTCCGTGGAGTGAGGTTTTGAGAAAGTTTTCTACTTTCAAGTGTAAGGTAGTGATTACATCCGAGGGGGTGACTCGGTTTAATTTTTGCTGAGTATATACGTGCAGCTGGCCTCTCAAAGTACCCCTACCCTATTAAAGTCTATTCTGTGGCCAAATAAAGACCCCATCTTGGTCACTTTTGGGAAAATGTAATTTTCGTGATCTCGGTAACTTTCCGTTAAATGCATCTACCTTTTAATCTAAACAACAGTGTGACAAGGAATTTGTTATCACACCTTGAGATCCTCGTGTAATTATTATTGTGAGTACTGGCATGGCACAAACGTTTTGCTAAGTTTAAAACACCTCTAGGATGAAATAAAACGTGCAATTTAAAGTTCTAAAAAATATAATATAATTGATCATTTTCGGACTCGTCCTGGACCATTTTTTGGAGCAGAAAACGTCTATTTTCTTGAATTGTTATTATTACTAACTACGAACATACGACTTCATAAAAGTGTTAGGGGCAGCCCATTAGAAAATGTATGGGGCGGATACGGTACAAAAAATATATTCATGCAAGGAGAAATTAACTACTAAGAAATAAGGGAATGTTAACGAAGAAAATTCATGCAGCTCAAAAATTCTCCACCCTGCCACAACTTTTCTAATGGTCCAACCCTTATGACACAAGCTTACATAAGTAGCATCAGCAGAACAGACTAGGTATGCATTTACTAAGAGGTTTCTCATCAATTGATTCCTCCAAGACAGACATATTTAAGTTCAAGGAAGTCCTCTATTCCATATTTAGAGCCCTCTCTTCCTAGCCCAGATTGCTTCCAGCCACCAAAAGGAGCAACCTCTGAGGAGATGATTCCCTCATTGACTCCCACCATACCAACTTCCATGGCTTCAGCTACACGCCAGATTTGACTGAGATCTTGTGAGTAGAAATAGCCTTCGAGAACAAAATAGAGAAATTAACGGCCCAGCAGATACTGACAAGTCTCGCACTAAACGAAATCAGAGTTTCAACTTGCCTGAGGCCCCCAGACACTGTACAGCAGTCCTAACTAAAGAATGCCCGTCATCCTCGGGGACCCGGGGGCAGCTAGTCGGGACGATAGAATGTTCGTGGTGAAAGTTTATAGTAATCACCATGAACATTCTATCGTCCCGACTAGCTGCCCTTGGTCTCCGAGGATGAATGCCCGTTAGACTAGGGACATTTAACATTGATTTATTGCCAAGGATGAATACGTCTCTAACAATTACATGTTAGATGGAGGAGGTGTTATTGGCCAAGATGGCAGGTGCAGCCTATGGGTTTAAATCCCTGCACGACTCTGAGTTTTTTCTTTGTCTCACACTCAATCAGCCTTAAGTTTTCTGATTTCTTAGGACTAGGTTTTCAAGTGGATTACTCCCAAATTTTGCCCCTCTGTATTTCACTGAAAATTTACCATAATTTTCCTTGATAATAAATAATTCTTAAATTATTTTCTATGAGCCTTTTTAAAGGACAAAGGTAGCCATGATTGACTCCATAAATCGAAGAAACAATGAAATCTGGTGGTACCATCCACCTTAGTGGAGTTTCAACTGTAACGGGGGAAACTTTCTTGAGATTTTGATTATATTTTATATTAACTGATAAATCTACCTATAATCTACCTAGGAAAATAAAACATGGGATCCTACCTGCCAGCCCAGCTGAAGTATCATTAGCAATTGTCACAGCTTCGTCTTCACTTTTAAACCTAAGAACCAATGATAAAGTAACATTGTAAAATAGAGTAAAACAAATAAAAAAGGAATGAAACAAATTATAATATTAACGCTCTGCTCATTAACTCAGATAAGGAAAGGAAAAATAAAATTAAGCACAAATATTAATTGAAGTAGGATAATATAACCTGGGCATAAATGAAACATGAAGATAGGGGCTTGACGGACAGTGCAGGAATCCGATGAAAATAACCAGGCATGCATAGAAAGTAATTCACTACAACTATATAATTATGTGAAAAATCATGTGAAAGCCATTTGAAAAAATGACCTATTTCGCCTGACATGCAAATATTCAGTAAATTATATACAGCTGTAGTTGACTGGACATTTAATATTTCATATACATACTGGGAGCTAGGCCGGTTGATATTTATGATCATGCATGATCTGTTAGTTGCAATCAATATGATTGCAACATAAATGAGCATGACTGAAAATGAAATGAACAAACATGCTTATTCAAATTTAACCGCTTTGCTTCTCGCCAATAATATTAAAAATAATGACATGGAGAAAATCCAGAAGCGCGCCTTCTCCATCATCTATCCCTTTACTTCATACAAAGACGCACTGGCTAAGGCAGGCCGGGATCGTAAGCTTAAAGAAACGACAACCAAGACGCTTGAGTCAATTTTGTAGGAAAAATTAGTCCTCAGACAACCCAATCTTCACTCATCTTCGGCATACTGTACATGTTCAAATGGATCATTTACTTCCCTGTCATATAACACTGATTGTTTTGCTAATTTTGTCACCGTAAAATATGCTACTGCTAAGCGTTTTTTAAAAATTATTTATTGTTGATGTTTAACTGACCTGTACCTGCAATTCACCTCTAGGCCGCAAAAGGTGTCAATAATTAACTTTATAAACAAGTCATTCATTTACACAATGATTAGGGTTATAAAGTCCTGACTTGAAATAATTAGCGAATTCTTTTTTTACTTCACTCATGACTCATTGAATCATGGAGCTGCCTCAAGGCATGCACAAGCTCATAAAATGGGTAGTCTCCTCCGTCAAAAAATGAACACTATCAGTTATTCACCCAGTAACCCAGAGGGCGTTACGTGAACCGTAAAGCCTTCGCAGAGCCCGGGTGGATACCGTAACGCATGACGGCCTGACAATTTGTCACCCGCCACCCGCTACCCGCCACCCGCTACCCGTCACCCGCCACCCGTCACCCGGCCCCCCCCGGAAAAGTCCTGCCGTGTGAATCACACCATGAGGTGGTTTTCAAGACCAAAGTTTCGCATTTCAGGGTTACACTACACAGTAACGACACAAATGGAGAAGGAAAGTTCAAATGAATGCGCAGTTTTCTTTTTGTGGACTAAGGAAACGTTTCGGTTGCGAAATCTTCCTTCGAGGAATTCAACGATGTTTTCCTTCAAGTACGGCCGCGGCGAGCAAATTTCCCAAGGCAGCGAAGTTTTTGCAGACTTTTCAGGTACCTTTTTCGCTATGGTCAAGAAAATTACTTTTTTAAATTACGGTAATTTGTGTATGTATAAATGTTCCACAAACATTTTACATAGTTTGTCATCGGCGCTAAGAAAAATCACAAAATGCACCCTGGTTTGAGATGGATTTTGTCTTTTAAGGATAAACTTCTGAGTTTTTGAATGAAAATGCTCAAGAAAGAAATTCTCTGGCTATTGTTTTGAGTTTGTTCATTCATAACATAATTATTTATCAGCATAAAACACAATCGCGAGACTACAGCATCGCTTCTGCGAAGACGTCGGCGAATTTTATAGAATTTTTACTTTCAGGTTCACTTTTTCTGCACTTTTCGATACGATGCTAAAGCAGTTTGTTCATCAAATTGTCTTTTAATGACGTCCAGGTTTTCATGGACCGCAATTCGGCCGGATTTAAGAGCACTTCTTACCTTTAGAAAATGATTTTTGGACGTAAAAAGTACGTTTCTTCTGCATTCAAATTCACAGAACGTTTCGCTCATTTCACTTTATGATAGCTTTAATGCTTTGTCAGCTTTTGTTTTATTCAACAAATCAAATCATTTGGCCTTCTAAAAAGGATTGTTCATTATTGCCTTATTTAACGGCGTTTTATGTGAGTTATAACATAGCTAGAATATTCGCCTAATGAAATTCAATAGCGCGAGAGTGCTCCATATTCCCATTGAGCACGCTGATGACGTCAATAAACTATAATATCTCGAGTTCTTGTGAACTTAGCAATCCTCCCAATAGCCTGTTCTCAGACCCTCTATTTTCTCTTCAAAGTCCATGGAGCGCGCGTGATTATAACTATTTTTCTTTCTCGCGCTCCGCGCTCACTCTCCCTCGCGTGCTCGCCTCGCTCTAGCCCACGCCGATGTTTTCCAAAAGAACCAAAAGAAAAATAAAACAACGTCTGGGTACAGGCTGTCCTTCTAAGACGTCTCACAAGTGCATCCATAACCCAACAGTACACGATGAAGCGTTTACGATGTGTTTATAAAGTAAATTTAAGAAAAAAGTTTTGAATTTGTCAACCGATAGTAGGGAAAAGAGGTGAGTGTTGTTGTTTTTGTTGTTGTTGTCATCTCCGCGAGCTGTGTGGGCCATGGCGAGTGCAGATAATTCTTGGCAAAAATGTTTCTCTCAAAAATAATTTTTCGGTGAATTAATAGTTTCCCATCACCTCAATGTGGATTTTACAATCTTTTTTAGTGTTATCTTAAGCGACTTGACTAAACTTTATCTCAGTTTCAAGACAAAAACATAATTGTGCTCTACAATAGCACAATTTTAAGTTAACTGCTGCATTGATCGCTTTGATAATGTTATAAAATAATTAGTTCATGCTTCAGCTGTGCGTATGTCGAGATAATGAGCATTTGGGGAGTTTGGAGGGCACTCCTAGAGGCTACAGCCGGGTCGCAGAGTCTGTTTAAAGATTGATTTCTTTTTAATGCAACACACAGCTTTTTGGAGGCCTAAATTTCGGATTAGGATAATGAAAAAAGGCTCAGTCATCCAACGAAAACAGGAACTTTGAGAATTTCGCACAAAATTTCATCTTTGCTAGCCTCATTGGCGAGACGGCGAATAAGTGGCAAATTAAGGTGGCTCGATACAGTTTGTCAGGGTCAATACCTCCCAAGTTTGAGCATAAACTACGACGCCATAAACAAAGATTAGGAAAAATTAATACCACAGTTGTATTAGATAAAGATGAAAATCTGTTATGATCAGGGTTACAATGAGATCGGAGTTGTCATAGCAACGAAATGACGCCATTACCTATTTTACTTGCAGCAGTATTTCTCGGCACTGGGAACTGTTCTTCCAAAATCGTTTACTGGAGCTTTTACCTACGATAGTTGCCTCGATGTTCGTGAAGTTTAAGCGAAATCTGTAAGAGCGTTATCGAGATATTCTGGGATGAAGTTTTTCTGGTTAGAAATACGGTAAAAATTGAGAATCTTGATGTTGGACTGTTATCTGTACTAAATGAAGCGCTTTTGACATGCAATTTCACCTCATAGTAGTTTTAATCTTTTTAAAAACGTGGGTGAAAGATCATGGAGATACCTCAGCGGATTGCTAGAAAGAAGGATTTGATTAGTACGTATCGGGGCGCTCTTGTTAGCCGTAATGTAAACATTTGGGTCTACTTTAACAAATTAGCGAATAATTTTTAAACCGCTCGATAAATTTTCTAAAAAATTTACAAGTGTTGAGATAAACCGTCCTTTTATTTGACCTCTTAGTTTCAAGATTATTGATATATTGTAAGGTAGTAAAATAAGGGCTACAATTCGCTAATATTTTGTCAGAAATTTTGTCTTTACAAGTGAGAGCCTCTTATTATTCAGGGGTATTGTCTCAAAGTTTCATTTTCACGTGAACAGCAGTAACTAACAATGCATTTGACATATGCAAAACTGCTAGCTATTGTTGTGCACGAAAATATGAAACTTGGAGACAATAGCACTGAATAATGAGAGGCTTTCACTTGTAAACAAAAAATTTCTGACAGAACGTTAGCGAATTCAAGCCCTTATTTTACTGCCTTACAATATATCAATAATCTTGAAACTAAGAGGTCATATAAAAGGAGGGTTAATCTCAAGACTCTTAAATTTTCTAAAAAATTTATCGAGCGGTTTAAAAATTATCCGCTAATTTGTTAAAGTAGACCCAAATGTTTACATTACCGCTAACAAAAGCGCCTTGATACATACTAATCAAATCCTCCTTTCTAGCAATCGGCTGGAGGTATCTCCATGATCTTTCACACACGTTTTTAAAAAGATTGTAACTACTATGAGGTGAAATTGCATGTCAAAAGCGCTTCGTTTAGTACAGATAACAGTCCAACATCAAGATTCTCAATTTTTACCGTATTTCTAACCAGAAAAACCTCATCCCAGAATATCTCGATAACGCTCTTACAGATTTCGCTTAAACTTCACGAACATCGTGGCAGCTATCGTAGGTAAAAGCTCCAGTAAACGATTTTGGAGGAACAGTTCCCAGTGCCGAGAAATACTGCTGCAAGTAAAATAGGTAACGGCGTCATTTCGTTGCTATGACAACTCCGATGTCATTGCAACCCTGATTATAAGCAATTTTCTTCTTTATCTAATACAACTGTGGTGTCAATTTTTCCAAATCCTTGTTTATGGCGACGCAGTTTACGCTCAAACTTGGGAGGTATTGACCTTGAAAAACTATATCGAGCCACCTTAAGCTTCAAGAAAGCAAAGCGTCACCGTGAGCTTCAAATACCAACTTGAGATAGATAGAGTGCTAAGGCAAGTTATTTATAAAAACAAGGTTTGGTGACTTAACAACCCAGAGCTTACAGTTGTTCTGAATGTGGCCGAGAGGTTTTGCTTTGGTTTATATCATTAAATTTGTGCGTGGTCAAGTGCCATGCTTCTCCTAACTTCTGTGCATCCGCCAATTCAACAAGCACGATTTGATGTTTGCATTAGTGAGTTTCTATAAACTTTGAAAGCTCGCTTTAACATGCATACCTTTTTACGTACACAACCCGTATTTTTTAACTGAAAGTGTTCTGAATATGTACACTGTAAATGTGAGGAGTTAAAGTAAAGTATATAAAGTATACGTAGGATTTAACTATATTATGGTCAACTATTGAGCTTCGAGATGAATCGTTTGAACAAAAAACAATTTGAGTTCGTGTCATCACCACTTTGACCCTGACTCAAGTGTGATGTTTTCTTTTAAAAGCTGTTCGCTGCCTGTTCTGGTTAAACTTATCGTTTTCTCAAAGTGCAATAAATTCTGTTCAGTCTTGGTTGTCGTGAACAGGTTTCCGACAAATAATCGCTCTCGATATGATCGTATACAGATTTTTTTATGTTCACAGATTTCCTAGGTTCTCTCACGTCTTGATCTCTCAGTCAACCTGAGCGATAATATTACATTACGAAAGTCTTCCAAAAGGGTACAATGCTTAAATGAGTTCATGTTTCACTGTCACTTGAGATTCTACGTCACCCAATGGTCGGTTGCAGCCTGTGTAAAGCCGCCCCCTCCCCTCAGAAAATATTGGAGAAAGGGGCGAGGGGCCGGCTGTACAGTTTTATGGCAGCCCAGTTAAAGTCGCCTTTCGTCTAGTTTACACTTAATTCTAATCACGGCATGTCACTCACCTTATAAGAGGTGCAACAGGTCCGAAGGTTTCTTGATGACAGACAAGCATGTCACGTGTCACCTCTGTCAGAACAGTTGGTTCGAAAAAGTTGCCTCCAAGCGCATGTCGCTGGCCACCCCGAAGACATTTAGCACCTTTAGCTATGGCATCCTGCACATGACTTTCAACCTGAACGTATGTATATGAGAATCACATCTTACAATGAAATTATTAAAATCCTCATAACCATCAATAGGTATGAGACAGAGTTGCTCATTGCTGTACACATAGCAATTCGTATATAGACTTAAGGTGACTCGACCCAGTTTTTTTGGGGGGTACCATCCTACTTTGAAGCTCTCTGGTATCCCCACCTTTACTTTTATCGTAAGTCTAACACATAGAATGGATAACATATAGATCAATCTACAATATAACATAAAAATTTTTGGCCATCGGAGTAAATGTCACGTGGTTATAATGCCACGCCCCTTTGAGGTCTGAGTCGAAAATCTGCTGTTGCAGGCATTTTTTCGTGAAAATCTCTCGGCTACACATAGCGCGCATTAGTGCCTTGCGCTGAACAGAGTTTCACCAAAATCGCAAAGACCCAATTCGAGAAATTCAGCGGTTTCCAAATTAAGGTCATAATTTATGCGAAAATGATAAGCAAACTTTACACGGATTATATCTAATAAACTATGAGATTCATCTCTTTATTTTGGGCATCCTTATAACAGATGGGTCCTTGCAAGTCAGCAAAACGCTTTAGTGCCTTGTAAATGCGCGCGATTTCGAGCAAAGCAAACATATAGAAATTATAGTTTTCGCTATTTGTTGACGTTTGTCAGCGTTTAAGAGTCTTTCTCACGAAAAAAGCATTTTCTTCAAAATTCATAGTATTTTTTCCTTCAAATTTTTTCAGGGCCACAATTGATTAACTAACTACCCAGACTCTGGATTTCATGGTCATTGAAAAACTGTGACATTATCTTCTATAAGCCCAAACTTGAGTAAACATTGAAGATTTTTAGCGTTTTGGCTGAGTTTGTGCTTTGGGAGTTGTCTATTGTTTCTAGTCTGTCATTATACAGCATTCTTGTTCAGCACGCGTGCAATGACCACGCTTGGCTGACTTCCGAATCCTCACCGAGATATTCCGGTCACGAGTTGGTTTAATTATTGGCTTGCATTAAACCTGTGAAAAAAATGATATTTTTTTAATAGTAAGTAGATTTAGTGTGTAGCACTTCTTGATTTTTTTTGCAAAGGCTCAAGAAGCACGAGAATTGTTTAAAAATTGTGAGTTAAACCTCTATGTATCACGCGATGGCCTGTCTCACTGTACCAAAATTATTATATCTCGGTGAGCATTCGGAAGTCAGCCAAGCGCGGTCATTGCACGCGTACTGAACAAGAATGCTGTATAATGACGGACTAGAAACAATAGACAACTCCCAAAGCACAAACTCAGCCAAAACGCTAAAAATCTTCAATGTTTACTCAAGTTTGGGCTTATAGAAGATAATGTCACAGTTTTCAATGACCATGAAATCCAGAGTCTGGGTAGTTAGTTAATCAATTGTGGCCCTGAAAAAATTTGAAGGAAAAAAAACTACGAATTTTGAAGAAAATGCTTTTTTCGTGAGAAAGACTCTTAAACGCTGACAAACGTCAACAAATAGCGAAAACTATAATTTCTATATGTTTGCTTTGCTCGAAATCGCGCGCTTTTACAAGGCCCTAAATTGTTTTGCTGACTTGCAAGGACCCATCTGTTATAAGGATGCCCAAAATAAAGAGATGAATCTCATAGTTTATTAGATATAATCCGTGTAAAGTTTGCTTATCATTTTCGCATAAATTATGACCTAAATTTGGAAACCGCTGAATTTCTCGAATTGGGTCTTTGCGATTTTGGTGAAACTCTGTTCAGCGCAAGGCACTAATGCGCGCTATGTGTAGCCGAGAGATTTTCACGAAAAAATGCCTGCAACAGCAGATTTTCGACTCAGACCTCAAAGGGGCGTGGCATTATAACCACGTGACATTTACTCCGATGGCCAAAAATTTTATGTTATATTGTAGATTGATCTATATGTTATCCATTCTATGTGTTAGACTTACGATAAAAGTAAAGGTGGGGATACCAGAGAGCTTCAAAGTAGGATGGTACCCCCCAAAAAAAACTGGGTCGAGTCACCTTAACCCATGGCCTAACTGCAAGATTACAAGCAGTCAAAAACTAAAGACTATTAGAATGACATGTCTAATAATGGTAATTTGCACATTGAGAATGTTTGTTTGCCAAAAACGAAATGTACCTTTTCTGATCTAAGCATCTGGTCCCTTCATTCCCCAAAGCAACCAGTTAAAAGTAGGAACCTCTACAGATAGCACACTATAATTATTCTAAGCTTACTTTTTCCACAGCTTTTTGGTTAATAAGTGGACCTTGAGTTGAAGATGGGTCCAAACCATTTCCTACACACAACTGTTTATCCACTGCCTCAGCAAACTGGGATGCAAACTCATCATAAATTTTGTCCTGCACAAGAATTCTATTAGCACAGATACATGTCTGAGAGAGAGAAAGAGAGAAAGAGTAGTAAATAGTACATACTTATTAAAACATAATGTATGAGAAATTTTTGAGAATAATTACTCAAAGAATTTGGGGCTGGTTTATACTTCCAGAATAGCAGCAAAACTAAAACTGGAAACAACAGTTGCAGTTTATGTTATGACCCAGTCAACACATCAAGAAGAAAAGGGATTTTAAATTTTCTATTGATCCCGGCCCAGACCTTATAGCGCAGTTCCACGCGTGAGCGGAGCCCCATAGGTAAGAAAATTTGGTAATCTATCCATCCGAGAAAAGTTGGTTAAGACGTCAGCGTACGACCTCCTGTCCGCACAGACGCTGGGGGAGGGGGAAGGCAGTCAGAAGTCAGCCCGTCGGGGGAGGAGTATGTTATAACTGAGGCGAAATTTTGCATTCCACGCACCTCGCTCGTTTCGGCGGTAAATCACATGGCCACCCAGCCTGGACTTTTAGAGCAAAAAGAAACAAAAAAACGAGTCTTTCTTTCCACTAAATTTTAATGTCTATATTAACTTAGATAACAGGGAAAGAGCTGGAGCGAAAAAAACATAACAATGGAGACCAATTTCGTTGGAAGAAAAACATGAAAGTTATATAGCGGCAGTTACAAAATGAGAAATGCTAGCGGCTACCAATGTAAAAATGAGCGGCAGTGAAAAACAGAGTGAACAGAAACACAAACATTTCCTCCATAAAACGCGTAAATAAGAAGTTAAAAGAAGATTCACCTTTTAGTCGTGCAATATAACGGCAAGGAAATGTACAAAAAAGTGTGCTGCACGTGCAAAGTTGTTTTTTTGCTAATTAGATCTATTGTTGTTGTTTTTTTTTACCGTTCTTCTCCTTGTTTTCACCTTGTCTTTAGTATTACTCGACTTTAAATTTTCTTTGAAGAATCTATAAATATTAAAAAGAACTTCGCTTTTAGCCCTGGCTAAATCTATATGTTGATTAGTTTGTAAGCATGCAAGTGGAATATTAAGAGGGCTAGTCTGGGGGGGTGGTAGGGAACCAGTGACACAGACTACTAATAAGTGTTATAATAATAATCAGTAGTTTAGTGCTGGACTAAATAAGAAGTTCCTTTTCAAATACAATGCAATGTGTTGAATTGCGAACAGACGCCCCTCCTCTCGGAAAAAATCGGGGAGAGAGATGTCTGTGTATCGCTGACGTTTATCATGTTCCAGTACCACATTTGCATATTAAATTAACTATTTTGTTTTTCTTCTGACTCTAACTCCTTCACAGTTCATAAGCAGTAAATGTCAGCCTTTTAAGGTCTTTACAGAAAAAAAAGGCTCTGACTCGAAAATCAAGCTAAAATGTCAGTTGTTAGCACTCTTTTCTTTATAACGAGCTATTATGCTTTGGAGGATTCTAACACATCTTCTTTTGTCTTACATTGGCAACTCCTGAAGCCAGTCTGTTTCCTGTATGATACTTGTAGTTTTTGGCTCTGACAGAAGTTTGATCTCGGGAGCAGTTTATCGAACATTTCCATTCAAACGTTTCATGCAAAAGTTTTATGTAGTAGGTTTCATGGAAAGAATTGAATAGTTCACTTCTCAGTGTTCATTTGAAATTACAGCCCTCCTTTTCTCTAATTTTACGAGCCAAGAGCGACACTTGAAGGCCGAAAAATTACATGTAACTTCCACGCAGTGTCCACACTGAAATCCGGCAGGCATAAGATCTCTGATCAAACATCAAATCTTTACATGTTTCTCGGCAGAGAACACAATCATGCACCCGCAATCAGTGCAGCAAACGTCTCGCTTCCCCTGCTCCAGAAAGCCGAAAAATATTTACGTATCAACGTTTTGGTACGCTATCCACAAAGGCTGTGGTTTTCCTCGGGGAATTCTGAGATTCATTCACCAATAACAAAACCAGAAATTACTTACGTCACGGCATTAACATTACAACCAATCAGAGACTTTCCCACACTTGCCGGGGAAACAGGAACATTATTAATATCAGCGTGACACGGATGTCTCTCTCTCTCTGTCTTTTTATTTTTGAGGCGAGTGTCGAATTATTGAATAGACAACAGCGTGTGTTCGTAAGACTGCTATGTTTAACAGCAAGTGGTAACGTTTGCGCATGCGTCAAGTTTGCTGGGAAGGACTTTGTTGACGGGAAATCGTAGTAGCCGAAAGCTGTTCTGAAGCACTTTCAAGGGAGATTTTTTTGCATATCCAATCAACAACAGACATTTCTTATAGATTGGATACTTTGGCTAAGCCATGTTGAAGTGTTATGTATGGGAGAAGGACCATTTAGCTGGTTAATTTTCGTCCATTTGGCTCCTCTGATGAAGCAGATCAAGCGTTCACGAGGTCGTTTGTTTTGATATGTTGATTTGTTGACATTCAAGCGGTCACGGATTTTTGGGTTATCGTCCGCGATCTGCAGAGCTGCCTAACATTTAGGTAAGATATACCCCTTGATTTACTTTGTGAAATGTGGAGCAGCATCATCGAATGTTATGTGTTAAAATTATAGCAGCCTGAATTCAACGTAATTTATGTGACCCTGGTATTTTTGTAGTATTTGACCCTGACCGTACAACGAGATCCAGTTATATATCCCACGCAAGCGACTAAACAGGTTAAACTTCTCTTTCGGTCACTCCGTATTTTCACTTTTAATGGTTAATTCAAAGGGGGGAAGTTCGAGTATTTTGATACTATTTAGCGGCATGAAATCAACAAGCAAATTTCCTACTCTTACAAGTAAGGCCATAGTCGGATGTTTCCTTCCATTTTCGAAAATTTGCTTTTCTGGTTTACATTGGTGCTCTATGGCGATTACTTATTCTCAGAGATTAAGAGATCGAGACGGTAGATTGTGAAATATTATTTGCTAAACCTTCGTTAAAGATGGACAAATTTTTCTTGTCCTTTTCAACCTTGTTTTTAGATTTTTCGTTAACATGTAAAAGTATATCCCAACAAAACTTATTTGTAAGAGCATTGTTTCTGAACACTCTTTCATTCTTGAATGTTTGATTTTGCATCCAAGGGGGGGAACACTGATGAATTTGCGTTTTAATAATCATGCACTGTAAGCTCTCAGATTCACTGACAAGAACCCTCACCATTTGGGAGATGATTAAATATTCTGATAATTATTCAATGATGATTTGTTTTTAAATACAAAATTGGCGCCTAAAAGAATTTTAATGTTATGCTTAACATGTTGACATAATGTCTTGAAACATAACAGAAATCAATATAAAATATGAAAATACACATATGTGCATTCTTTTCCCTGCCCTACTATAAAAGTGATTTCATAAGTGTGATTTAATGCATTTTCATATGACCATTACAATATTACTCCCACTTTGACATTAGCACAAGTTCAAGCGCAAAACAAGTCTTGCCCTTAACCACCTTTGCACTTGCTGGACTGCCATTCCTGTTTGAAGTACAGACAACACTGGACATGAAATCCCTGTATTTGATTCCTTACATTGGCATCCACATAAGAATTAGCTTCATCACATACCATGTATTTGTTCGCTTACAAAAATCATAAATGTTATTATTCCTTTTCTATCCAAAAGATTTCTATCCTTCTTGAATATAAATTCTTATCCATGACACTTTAGAAATCCTGAATATCTAAAGGAGTATCACTAGTTGTGGGCAACAACTAAATGCCACAGGGGTAGCTTTTCACTCTCCGATAGAAATAGATCTTTTGATACTCTGGGTCTCATTCAGAGTTTGTGCTCATGAATTTAGGAGCACCTGGCTTGCCAATGTCGGTTTGGCTGTGGATACACTGTAGTAGTGTACTGGTATATAGTCACATATCATAGGCTGCACAAGTTGCGATTTATGTAAAATTGCCCCTGAAACAAGCTCATTGATGCTCCTGGTGTCGCAAGATGACAAGTTATGAAAAATTTCATTTGCCTTTTGCCTGTTGCAGGAGCTCCCTATGAGATGCTCAGCACTAAACCTTGTTGATTCAGGTGATAGTCATTGAGGACAACTGCATCGTCACATTTAAACCAGTCGCACTTTTCACTCAAGCCATAGCAGAGCTGTTACAAAATGGCGACTATCTGTTTTTTATTTAACCCTATGCTGTCTGCAGAATGTGAAGGGTCTGTCACTCCATCGTGAACTGCATCAAATAGCCTTGGTGCCCCAGAAGACACACAGACAAGCTTTAATTTTAATGAGTCATACATTGGCTACTTGAAGCTACCATAAACTGATACTTTATAAATATCAGGCTTTAAGATCCTTAAGTTCTCCTCATGTTGAAATTGAATGAAAAGGAAAATTTAGAGCTAATTTTCTCTCAATTTCAATTTTTTAATCTTCAAATCATAAGAACTTGGCCGCAAACAGATATGGGCTAGTCAAGGGAGCTAGGCCTTATTAGTTATATCTTAAATAATTAACACATGTGCAGTAGAAAATACCAACAGCAAAATTTACGAAAAGCAAAAATGAGTGCAAGCATGGAAAAAACAGAAGCAGAAAATTCACTTCAATATCTAAGAGAGAAAATGCAGTTTTAGATATGACTATGATCTTTACTATTTTAAGTATTTTCACTTTTGTGTGTATATTTGCAATTTTCTAGTATCTAGAAGTGTGGGGAGTAAAGGGAAGGATTTTTCATGGTTAGGGTTACCTTAATAAAACACATCTGTAATATGAAACATCTTGTACCACACTCCTGTTTTGGCTCATCTAATTCTTTATTTTAGAAGTATAAGGGACATCTTGGAGTCAAGAGCCTCCATATTACAAAATTGTGCCTACACCCCTGAATAAGTTAAGGCATCACATAGATTTAATAGATGTCATTTCTAGAGTTTGGGTGTTTAGTCTCATATCATCTAGTCAAAAAAGGAAACATACAATTTCATAGCCCTGGGTGGGATATCTTTGAAATTTTATCAGTCGCAGAATTAGGGCACTGCACCTGCTTTGGCCACTGGTGGTTAGGATGGGGTTTCTCTGAAAAGTAATCACTGGCAGAATCACTACACTAAGGTTGCACATCTCTGAAAAACAGGGCATTCCTGAACCATAACTGACGTGAAATCGTATTATTGCAAGGAGATTGTCGCAAGAACATTAACTGCAGTTATGACTATATAAACAGACTAGCATTTAGAATTTTTTTTCACAGCGTTTTATTCAAATCGTAAGCGTCGGACGTTTTGTACTCGGTCACAACTTACATGAAGAGATTTTTTCCCAGTAATCCAGTGTTTAATAGAGCAGTTTTGCAGCTGTTACACAGAACCCCCTTTCGACGTGTCTGTGCGCAAGCCAAAACACGAAACAATAATCACTCATGGACCACAAACCGCGCAAAATTGTGAATGATCTGCGACTTATTAGCCTTGAGACCAATCTCGCATATTACAAAGAAGACTTTGTCTGATCTGCACTCCACAAAGATAGAACAGATAACTAAGACAACGGTAATTTTTAAAAGAGGCGCCATTTTTCTTTGCTGCATTCGCTGCGATCCAATACCACCACAAACTTCCGTCCAGCGGCTCGCGCATACTCGCAACGTTACCACTTGCTGTTGCTATGTTTAATCCTCTAATTTATTCTAGCAGTGCGCTAGCCTGCGAAAACATCCGTTTCTCCTCGCTCTTCGCCGCCAGGGACGTTTCGCGGGGAGGAACGTCTGCGACTCAGCGACAGAAATTCCATACTGATGACGTAAAATCTGTCCGGAATCCGGTCAGAAGCGCTGATTGGTCGATGGAGTAGTTACATTGTTTTAGCTATTGTTTACGAATGACAGACAAAAGACAAAAGGCCGCAAAGGTCAAATGTAGACACGAAGAATCTGTAACAAAATAGTCAATATTTGTGGAATATAGTCTTCTCTAGAAGAAGCATTTGAGTTTTGCTGGAGCTCGTTGGCAGATGAACAGAACACTTTACCAAAATCGATCAGAAGACAAGTGAAATTGGACAAATTTGTCTTTGGAACCCCATGACTACTGGATTTATTATGTAAACATTGGTTTGCGTCATCAGTATGGAATTTCTGTCGCTGAGTCGCAGACGTTCCTCCTCGCGAAACGTCCCCGGCGGCGAAAAGCGAGGAGAAACGGATGTTTTCGCAGGCTAGCAGTGCGCATGCCTAAATACTGAACAACACACGCGCGTTAAAGACGCGCGTGACACATGAAAGGTCAAAGTTCAATAACACAACATCTTCCCTTTTTCAGAGATTGTAAAGTAACATACAACTCTAATCTGGAGTTAAAATCTGCCATGTAAGATAAGTGTCCGCTAAACTAAATAAAAACAAAGTTCAAGCACAAGTTTCAAAGTGTCTTTTTTAAACGAAAGTTCAATGTTCAACAAAGTCCAAGGCTCTCTTTTAACTTGAGAGAGGGTCTACCAAGTCTCTTTGGTCTAGATGAAAGACAAGGTGATGGAAGTGGCTTCAAGGGAGTCAATGCCTTGTCTCCGGGTTGTATCTATTCAACACTAGGTGAAACCGGCTTGTTCAAAACACTGGCTGACACTGGCTTGTTGGTAGGGATTGGGATGACATGGGAACGGTTTAGTCTCACAGTGGAATCTAAGTGTTTCTGCTGCTCCGGTTACTGTACTGGTGGTTCTCATATCTTTGATGTGCACAGGAGTACCAGGTTGAACTGATTTCAAGGGAATGGCATTGTGCCGTGACTTCAGTCTTTGAGTTTCCTTGCTTCCTGCTTCCCTTTCGCGTAGCTTGTCCATATCTGGCCAACTTGAATTGAGAATAGTGTGGAATGTTCGAATGCTGTTTCTCAGTTTCCTTCCCATGAGTAGTTCAGCTGGTGAATATCCACAAGCAAGCGGGTTCGACCTGTACGCCAACAGTCCTTTAGATGGATCTGTAGTGTACTTTCAGTATAGCTTACATGATTTATCTGTGTGTACAAAGGTTGACGGGATGATTATTGAAAGCATGGCAGGTTAGATCAGGAGTGGTCCTTGTGTAGACTTAATAATCCATTCGAATGGGTTTCAATACGCGATTAAGACACAACATCTGGCGACGAGGATGTTCTTTTAGGTCCACAAAACCGAGGTATGGCCTCAATCAACGTGGATGATCTAGTAACGAGTGTAAAACCGTTCGACTGGAACGGTGACCCTTCGAGCATTGGTAGGCGATGGCAACGATAGCTTGGAAGTTTTTCGTTTTCTGCTGACAGCAAAGGCGTCATCATTCAAGCAGACAAAGCTGACAATAAAGTACAACGGAGAGCTCTACTTCTCCAACAAGTGCAAGAAATCTTCGAGACTGGCTGACACGGGCACAGCGGCCGAGTATGAGAAGCCGTAAATAAGTTAAATGCGTATTTCATTCCGAAGTTAAATTCGACACACCAAAAACTTGTCTTCCGGAGTATGGAACAGCGTGAGCGTGGCACGGTGGCTCAGTTTGTGACAAGGTTACGACAGGTCGTGAAAGATTGCGATTATATATGGTGGTCAGTGACATAATCAAATTCGAGATCAAGTTGTTGAGCGGTGTACGTCCCATAAGTTAAGGCGGAAATTGTTGAAGGAAGGTGACACTTAAACCCTAGATGGTCTTCTTAAAACAGCCGCATCATATGAAGCTGTGCAAGCTCAACTGGAGAGTATGAAGAGTAAAACCGCTAATGTGAATCAGATTCGTGACTCGCGCGAAAACAAGCATCACCATAAAGGGAAGAGGACGTTGAGAGTGTTAAACATGTTATAGATGTGGCCACACAGGATATTTTGCAAGAGATCCTGAATGCCCTGCGAAAGGAAAAACCCGTGCAAGACATGTGGTGGCGCTGATCATTTTGCTTCGCAATGCAGTACCAAGACAGGCAAACCAAAAACTGAGAAGAAGCTAAAAGAGAAGAGGAAGGTGAGATACACGCAGAGAGGAGACGATGACGAGGACGCCGAGTATGCATTTACTATAAAATCGGTGTGAGTGGATGTGTTGTGAAAATGGTGATTGATTCGGGTGCGAGCACTAATGTTGTCGACAAAGGCCTATGGAGTGAACTAAAGCGGCAGAAGATTGCCTGTGAATCCAAGAAGTGTGACAAAAAGCTCTATGCGTATGGAAGCAAGGAGCCGCTAAAAGTTTTGGGGACATTTTTAGCATCGACGAACGTAGCTGAGAATGAAGTTCAAGCTGAATTTGTTGTCATTGACGGTGAAGGAGAAGCACTGCTTGGAAGAGAAACTGCGCTGCAATTAGGAGTGTTCAAGTTAGGTGTTCCAGTTTATACGCTGCAGTCCAAAGAAGCGATTATGTCAGATTGCAAACAAGTGTTTGATGGTGCGGGCAAGTTAAAAGACTATCAGGTCAAGTTACATGTCAATCCCAAAGCAACCCCGGTGGCTCAGCCAGTCAGGCGCACTCCGTTCAGCCTCCGCGACAAGGTGAAAAGAAAGGTCGAGGAACCTGTAAGCATGGATATTATTGAGCCAGTAAATGGTCTGACACCATGGGTTAGTCCAGTAGTGGTGGTACCAAAACAGAATGATGAAATTCGGCTTTGTGTAGATATGCGCAGAGCCAATGAAGCGACAATCAGAGAACACTACCCCGTACCTACCGTGGATGAAGTACTCCAAAGCCTTAAACAAAGCAGTGTTTAGCAAGCTTGATTTAAAGCGGGGTTACCACCAGCTAGAACTCCATCCAGATTCCGGTAGCATTACTACCTTCATCACTCACTGTGCATTGTTTCAATATAAGCGCCTGATGCTTGGAATAAATTCAGCCCCAGAAGTGAATCAAAATGTTATTCAGCAAGCGCTTAGTGACTGTGAGGGAGTTGCAAACATCTCTGATGACACAATTGTGCATGGGAAAACCACTGAGGAGCATGATGAGAGGTCAAGGCGAGTTTTGGAGAAATTGAAAGAGAAAAACCTGACACTAAATGCGGAAAAATGCAAGTTTCAGATGAGCCAAGTTTGGGTTTATGGGACTGTTGCTAACAAACAAGGGCATTGGACCAACTAAAGTGAGAGCTGTTGTTGAGGCAAGAGAGCCGCAGAATACCTCGGAAGTTAGAATTTTCCTAGGACTAGCTAACTACAATGCGCAGTTTATCCCAGACTTTGCTACAGTAGCTGAACCTTTGCGTGAATTTAGAAAGAAAGGAGTTTGTTTCAGGTTTAGAGATGAGCAGAGAAGAGCATTCAATGAACTGAGGAGCAGATTAGCGAGTGCAGAAACCCTTGGTTATTTTGACAAAGATGTCCGAAAACTAATCATAGCAGATGTAAGCCCAGTTGGTCTTGGCGCAGTAACTTATTAAAGAACAACAAGGAAGACAGAATGTTATCAGTTATGCGAGAAAAAGTTTGAGTGAAGTGGAAAAACGGTATTCTCAGTTGTTTGGGCGTGTGAGCGTTTCTATGTGTACCTGTATGGCATTGAATTCGAACTGTACACAGATCACAAGCCATTAGACACAATTTACTCAAGCAGATCAAAGCCGTGCGCAAGAATTGAGCGATGGATCCTGAGGCTACAACCTTACAGGTTCACAGTTACGTACTTGCCAGGAGAGCAGAACATTGCAGATTCCTTATCACGCCTACTGAAAGCAGGGCACAAAGTATCAGATGAATTTGTCAGATTTGTGGCAGTAAACGCTACTCCGCGCGCGATGATGACACGCGAGATTGAAAAAGTGTCAGCAGAAGATGAAGAATTCAGTGAGCTGCTTCATCGTATAAAGACCGGAACCTGGAGGGATGGCCAGCTCAAACAGTACATATCTGTAGCCAGTGAACGGTGTCTGCCTGGCAAGCTAATCCTCCGTGGCACCAGAATTGTAATACCTAGCAAGTTGAGACCACGAGTCCTTACGCTGGCACATGAAGGGAGGTTGCGATCAAAAGTATGGTGGCCCGAGATTGACAAAGAGACAGGAAGATTTTGCAAAACGTGTTTTGGATGTCAGCTAGTAAGCGGTCTTGCTCACCCTGAGCCAGTCAAGTCAAGCCCTTTACCACAAGGTCCATGGCAAGACTTAGCCCAGGACTTATTAGGTCCTTTACCGTTAGGTGACTCCGTGTTAGTTGTGGTTGACCACTTCAGCAGATATTAAGAAATTGAGATCATGCGTTCCACAACATCTGAGAAAATCATTGAGAGTCTGGAGAGAATCTTCATGATTCATGGTTTACCACTGTCAGTAACCAGTGACAATGGGCCACGGTTTGTTTCAAGTGAGTTCGAAAGATATTTGGAGGGCTGTGGTATCGAGCACAGGAAGACCACGCCACTATGGTCCCAAGCAAAGGGCGAAGTGGAAAGGCAGAAGCTATCTTTTTTGAAAAGGATGCGGATCGCGCAAGCCGAGGGCAAACAGTGGAAGGAAGAAGTTGGCAAATACTTGATAGCATAAAGATCGACTCCTCACACCACCACTGGAGGGAGTCCCGCTGAATTTCTGTTTGGAGGAAAAACCCGGACCAAGTTACCTGAATTCCGTGAAGACCGTGTAGCGAGTGAAGTCAGGGTTCGTACTTATTTGAGCTCTTTAAAATTCCATGACCTTTTTACGTTTTCCAAGACCTTAGGTTTACCTGTCACTTTCAAAAATTTTTAAACCTTTCCTTGTTCCAGGGTATTTTTGGACCTTCAAAAGTTCAACAGACGCAAACGCTGCCTTCCACCAAAATGTGAGCCGTTTGTGATGGTTAATTACTCCTCTTTATCTTACATTGTCCTTGCCTTGTCATCTGCCGTAACTTATCTATCAAACACAACTTCAATTTTCCATGACTTTCCAGGACCAACAGTTAAATTCCATGACTTTCTAGGCTTGGAAAATGAAATGCTTAAGGTGACTCGACCCAGTTTCTTGGGGGGGTACCATCCTACTTTGAAGCTCTCTGGTATCCCCACCTTTACTTTTATCGTAAGTCTAACACATAGAATGGATAACATATAGATCAATCTACAATATAACATAAAATTTTTGGCCATCGGAGTAAATGTCACGTGGTTATAATGCCACGCCCCTTTGAGGTCTGAGTCGAAAATCTGCTGTTGCCGGCATTTTTTCGTGAAAAGACGGAAAAATGAGAGCAAAAGCTAAGTTATATGCAGACAAGAAGAGGCATGTAGAGTATTCAGATCTGGTTCCAGGTGACAGAGTGCTACTAAAACAAGAGAAGCAAAACAAGTTGTCTACATCATTTGCACCAGAACCGTATGACGTTGTTAGCAGGAATGGCAGCAGCATTCTTATCAAGTCTCCTGAGGGTGTTCAGTTAAAAAGGAATACTGCGCACCTCAAAAAGTACGAGGAACCGCTACCTATGTCAAGTCAAACTGTTCCTCTGCCTGTTGAAAAGGGTGTTCAAGCAAAGAGTCCTACTCTACCGACGGATCTTGAGACGGATGGTGGAAAGAAAAGGAATGCTGTCTCAAAGAGACCAGCCCTGACAGACCTTGAGACGGAGTGTAGAAAAGCTAGAACTGCTGTCTACCAGACCAGTTCGTCATAAGAGGTTACCAGAGAAGTTCAAAGACTTTGATACGAGTTGACGTATTAGCACTATTAGTTTTGCTAAGACAGTGTTAAGTTACTTCGCTAGTGTTATTATTGAACTGCGTGACTTTATCCCAGTGAAGTCAAGTTTACACTAGTTGTGCAGTTACGAAGTTTGTCACGGTTTCTCCTTGTAGTTTCTAAGTTCGTTTTATGTTTCCCTCGTATATAGTGTTCCGAAAAAGGAAGGGATCTAGTGTACTTTCAGTATAGCTTACATGATATATGTATGTACGAACGTTGATGGGGTTGATTATTAAAAGCATGGCAAGTTAGATCCGGAGTGTTCCTTGTGTTTCAATACGCAATTAGGATCCAACAGGATCATTTTCTTTCTTCAGCAGTGACTTGGAGGTTTCTACTGCCCTCTGCTTCAGCGTTAGACTGTGGGAAACGGTGGGTACTTGTTGTATGCTTGAAACCCCATTCTTTTGCAAAATGAGTGAATTCGACCGATGCATACTGTGGGCCGTTGTCTCTTCTTACTTCTTCAGGGATTCCATGTCTTGCAAATATTGCTTTCAGGGCTCTGATAACTTCATGCGATTTGGTGGTCTTTAGCATGGCAGCCAAATCGATAGTACACTACTATAAGATAGTTCAGGTTATCGAGCTCAAATAGGTCCATGCTAATCATCTGCCAGGACGTTCAGGAAAGGGTGTTGGCATGAGTGGCTCAGCTCGCTGCTGTCGGTGCTCGGCAAAAACTTTGCAATTTTCTGCCATTCTTGAACTTCACAGCTGAGACCAGGCCACCAAACAGAAGTCTTGGCGGGCTCTCCGCAGTTGACTATTCCCTGGTGCCCTTCATGTATCCTATCCAAGACTTGCAGCTTCATGGCTGACGGCAACAATTCTTGTTGACTTCAGGAGTATCCCACTTCTGATACACATCGAATTATTGAAGAGACAACAGCGTGTGACTGCCATGTTTAATCCTTTAATTTATTCCTGCAGTACGCGTGCCTAAATACTGAACAACACACGCGCGTGACAGGTGAAAGGTCAAAGTTCAAGGAGGCATCTGTACACGGGCTATGTTGAATGGGTGTTAAGAAATGAAATCTCTTGTGGGGTCCCTCAGGGTTCTATCCTTTGTCCTCCTTTTTGGTACTTTACATTTACAACATTAACTATATTTACAATGCTCCTAGTTCAATAAATTTGATATTGTTCACCGACAATACCAAATGTATTCAATTTTTCATGCGATATAAATATCCGGACTCTCTTTCAGATATGTTAAATTCTGTGATGTGCAAACTGTCAAATGAATCTGCTTAAAAGCAAACAAACTTTCCCTAAATCTAAAAAAGACTACATTTATGGTCTTTAAACTAAGTCAAAAAGGTACTAAAATAATATTGTAATATTCAAATAGGTATTGATAATTAATAATTACCACCCACCCTATTGTCAAACAAACTCTAACAGGTTTTCAGGTTTGTTTTTCAAGGACCAATGTGTTTTAATTCACACCAAATGCAATCAGCCAGGTGAGTGGCATCTTATCCTGGATTTGTCAAGCACTGCTGGCCATAGCGTCAACGACAGCATTGCTAGGGAGGATTGTTCTCTACACTATATGAAAGTAGATGACATCAGTGCAGGCATCATGCAGTTTGGTTGGGATAAGCTGATTGGCAAATGCATATTGCATTGTGCCCATTCATCCTTCTAACAATCCCCAGTTATTGGGCATGATGAGATGGCATGGCTCCTACCTTTTGGTGCAAGGTCGCCCCATTTATCTTCACTCTTGCATAGCAGACTTAGTGGGCAGGATTGCAAAACAGAACTATAGAACCACCTTCCTGATGCACTACCAAGACAACTTCCACACTCTTGGCCCCCTTGGATTGTCAGTTTGCCCGGGTAATCTAGACAGGTCCATTTACTGCTTCTCAGCACTCATCATCCCTCTCCACCCAGACAAACTCGAACAGCCACTTACATGGGCAATGGACTGGATTCTATAACCCTGCAAGCACATCTTCCCCAGGAGATGTTTAAGAGAATAACTGCTCAGCTGAAAGTATGGCCTCACAAGAGTTTCTGTAAGTGGAAGGAACTGGAGTCGCTAATAGGTCATCTTTAACATACCTGCAAGGTTGTACACCAGGCTCAGTCCTTCTTGCATTGCATGACTAATTTGCTGTGTGCCGTCTCAACCATGAGTTTTTCCTTGACTATGGCTGGTGGTAGGAGTTTTTCTAATCCTGGAATGGGTGTAGTTTTCTTTAGGATCCACAACGGGGCCCTTTGTCCAACTTCAAAGTTTCATCTGGTGCGTCTGGGGTACTGCGTTATGGTGCCATTTTTCAGTATCACTGGTTCTCAGGTGCATGGCTCACAACACAAGTTTCCCACTCAATTTAATACAACGAACTTTTCCCTATGGTGGAGGCAGCCTACAATAATTATTATTGGGGTCCACGGTGGTCCTCTAAATGGGTCAACTTTCTATCAGACAACAGCTCTTGAGCTAAGCCACTTGACGACGCTGTACTATCATTTCCCTGGTTTACTATCTCTGCCTCCTAGCGGCTCGTCATTCTTTTACTGCCTCTCCAGTTATAGGAAAGTCAGACCCCATTGCAGACTCACGAGACTGCAGTCCCACAACAGCTTCTCTTGAATTTGCACTTTCCCTGACAGACAAATGCCTTTTCAACCTGACTCAGGGTGAAGAGAAACTCATGTTTCTGCTCCCATCTTGCAGATACTCTCCATCACTCATGTATAAAGGTTTACCTTTCAGCAATCTAATCACTTTTCGTCAAGGAGGGACTGTCTCCAACCCACAAGACAGTGTAGGCTCACATGGAATGGTGTTGCTTCATCACAGCCAGGGTTCTTTCTTGAGTGGTTTTTGTAGCAGCTGTGTTGGTGTGGAGTGTACCTGCTAGCCAAATTATTAATACATTTCATGCTGTGAGAAAAGTCAGTCCAACCTACACTTGGCTTCAATGTGTCCCTGCAATACTGTACAATTATTTTATCCCTCTGGCTAAATGGTTCAATCTTAAGTTTATTAAAAATTACCTGAGCAGTGTGTCTAAACTTTGCACCAATGGCTCCTTTTATGGCTTCAGGAATATTTGCTGAGTCAAACACAATAAATGGAGCATTTCCACCCAGCTCTAAAGATACTCGCTTGATTGGATCAACACACTTTGACATCAAGAGCTAAGAAAATTCCAAAAATCTAGTTAGTATGCCTTAACACTAAAGAGCCGTGTATGTGTCTCTCATTTGATTAAAGAGAGCTTTGAAGCTTTGTATTAAGAGATTACTAGAAATAAATCACAGTTACAGGCTGGATTTTTGATAAATGATAAAAGAAAGCAATTATTTACCTTCCCAGTGAAAGTGGAACCAGTAAAGGATAGTTTAGCAACAAGGTCACTTCCAAGGATAGCATCTGTCACTTCATCTACATTGTCACGGGAACAGGGAACTGTGTTTACAACACCTGGTGGAAACCCTGCATCCTCTGCTAACTGACGAAAATATCATAAGTAAAATTAATACAAAACAACAAGACCTGAATGATCAATTTCGGTCAAAAATAAAATTACCTTCTGTAAAGCCAGGGCAGTATAAGGAGTTTCTTCTGATGGCTTAATGATCACAGTACAACCAGCTGCTAGTGCTGCTGAGCCTTTGCGTGTGATCATTGCAATTGGGAAATTCCACTGTAAACAATACATAAATAAATATAAAGTTAAACTTTGCATTTTTGCTGCAACTACTTGCCACAGGTAACCCACAAATATGAGATTAACTCCATGCAATTACAATGCTCTTTAATTTCTTGGGATGCTAGACAATCAAAGAGGGACTTATTCCTAACATTATGCTGTCACTGCCCACCGATTAAATAAGAATAGAATAGAAAAGTTCTTTATTTAAACATAGTAGAATTCGTCAGGGTCGGGTTGTTCAAAGCTGGGTTAAGATAACCCAGGGTTAGTGTGAAATTTGAATTCAGATTTGAAACCTTAAAAAGTAAATTCAGTTTTATTATTATTATTGTCAACAGGTTAATGATTGGATACTCTTAAGAATAACAGAGAAAGTTATCCAAGAAAACGTTTTTGAACAAAGAAAAAGAAAGCCGGGTTAAATTTAACCCTGGGTTAAGCGCTAATCGGCCTTTGAAAAACTGGGCCCAGGAGTATAAAAAAATTTTTAATCATAAATAACCTTAAACTACCCTATACAAAATGCCAAAACTAACCACAACTAACCTTACTAAAACCTGTTTTCATGAATGCCATGTATACTTAAAAATCAGAAATTAAGATGAGCCAATTGTTTAAATAGACTGTCTTGAAGATTTAGCCTCTCTCGTATCACAGGGCCGGCTATTCCAGAGAACTGCTCCACTATAACTAAAGCTGCTCTTCATCAAGTTTAAGTTTGTGCAAACTGGAAGTTAGTTTCTCTCAGAGAGTAGCATGTTTCATTTTGTTCAACAAATTTAAATTAATGGATTTAAACATTCAGGAACAAGACCATTTGAAGACTTGTAAACCATTAAGGCTTTCTGTATTTGAAACTGAGTGCTCCAGTCTTATCGACGGAGTTGTCTAATTAAGCAGTTGGCATCGGCATCATATCTAGAATAGGTCAGAAAACAAGCAGCATGGTTCTGTGTCCTGTCAAATAACCTTTTACCACAATTACCCCAGACAAGATTGCAATAATAATTGAATTGAGATTGACTAAGAGAATTAGTCTGTATGTTGCTCCTATCCCAGAAGCAAACTTTTTAGGTAATTTATCAACGTGTGTTCGCCACCGTAGTTTATCAATTGAGAGCTTGAGTGGGCTCGACAAAGTACACAATGTGGGTGTCATCAGCAGACAGAGGCCCTGCCAGGGTAAATTCCAAAAAGTGGTGACAGTGCATGAAATTAAATCGTGACAAGAGACAACCTCCCTCTGCCAAATTGCGACAGTGACGGCAAAGCCGACAATAAGCAACGGGCATTTATAAACACCGACATGAGATGTTTTAAAATTCAGACGGGCGACATGGGAGCCCCCCCCCCCCTGGCAGGGCCTCCATACAGCCTAGGCTAGCACGATGTTAAGCAGTTTAGAAAGTCGTTTAACCCATTCGCCCCTGAACCGCCCGTAACGAAAAAAGGCGAAAAAAATCCACTTTTCAACATAAAACAACCAAATCTGTCTATTTCATGTAAAATCAGGTGAGAAAGTTGGTAAAAGGCCATTCTTAGGTTTTTTGATTAACCCATTCGCCCCTGAACCGCCCGTAACCGCCCGTGCGGATCCAGGTCCTTTCTACCCTTTGTGACGTCATCAGTTTTAACGGTCAAGGACAACTTTCTTCGCTAACTTGTGCAGAGTGAAGAGATCTTTCAAACCATACCAGAATGAGCACAATTCAGTCAAGGACACCGGAGAAAGAAGCAAAAAACCACGTGACAAGGACCTGAAAATCGCCATGAAAATCTTGTTCCATTACCCACCTACCTTTCCTTTCACCTAATCCTAAGATCCTAAAAGCTTTCCTAAAAACTCTTCCCACCAAAATGAAGCCTACTAAATGCCCAGCAAGAGAAAAAAAAAATGAGGCAAGAAAAGCGAAAAAAGAAGGGAGGAGAGAAAGCGAAAAGTAAAAGTCAAGACTGCTGTGTCACTTTTAAACCCAAAAACTATCTCGAAATTTTGCTTTCTGCGCATGCCCGAACTTCGCAAGCTGATATTTTGCATCTGGATCAGAAGGCCGCCAAGTGTACGACCTGTAAACCGGTTTGTGGTAAGTTTTAGCTCTTTATAGCACGACAGTGACCAGAAAACCACTCGACTAGCTTCAAAACGCGTTTTTCGGCAAAATCTCCAGGAGCGAATGGGTTAAGAAAATAAGAAAAAAAAGGGGACCTACATTGTTCCCTGCAGTACCCTGCATTTAAGTGAACAGATTCTAGAAAAGAACCACTGACAGGACATTGTTGTGTATGATTAGTTGAATATGACTTAAACAAATCAAGAGCCATTCCTTGTATTCGGTAAAGGTTCATTTTAGATAAAAGGATATCATGATCAACAGTGTGGATTGCCTTTTTACGTCGATAAAAACCACAGCATTAATATAATATTACTGCAATATTGATATTAAAGGCCCAGTCATCAGTAGCTCCCAGAAGAGCACCTTCAGTTGAGTGTAAAGAGCAAAAGCCCAATTGCTAAGTAGAAATTTAAATATATTATTTGGTAAAAGTTATACAATTGGTCATAAACAATCCTTTCAAACACTTTTGTAGCTATAATGGAAATGATTGAAATAGGGTGATAATTATTTAGAGCAGATAGCTTGGCTTGATTAAACAACCGAGTAACCCTTGCACATTTCCAATCATCAGGAAATATACTGGAGACTTAAAAGACATGAACAAAACCTTGAATTGTTATTGTAACACTATGTACCCATAATCTATTTAATTTGAGACAATTACTATTACTATTTCTGTAGCAGACCAATGGTAATCTAACTAACATTGGACCACCACTGCTACTATAGAACTCAACAGTAAAGCTGTGTATGGTATGGTCAAAATCATTTGTACCACCACTACCACTAAAGTTGAGCTGTGTATAATGTAATCTATCTAACACTGGACTGCTACTGCCGCTACAGTACAGTGGAACAGTTTATAGTAATCCAATCAACAATGGACCAACATTGCCACAACAGTGCATGGTAGTCGTAGAGCTGTGTATGGTAGTCTAACTGACATTGGACCACCACTGTCACCACAGGAAAGAAGAGCTGTGTATGGTAATCCAGGCAAAATAATCACCACTACCACTACAGTACAGCAGATCAGCCATGTATGATAATGCAACCAAAAACTGGACAGTCATTCTTACCACTTAATTCATAGTAATAGAGCTGTACGATAACCAACAATGGATCAGCATTGCCACTTCAGAAGAGCTATGTATACTAATCAAACAAACATTGGATTTCCATGCATTGCCACTACAGTACTGTTGAATTGTGGGTTATCTAACCTACATTAATGCACCACCTTGATGGCCACTTCGGTGTGATAGAATTGTGTATCAGGTAATCTAACCAACATTGGACCGCTCCTGCCACCGCAAAACAGCTGTGTGTGCAATCTAATACAAACATTAAACTGCCACTGCCACTGATCATGGCTGGTTAAGCCATTACATGTATGTTGTCATATGAAATTGAGGGCAGAAGATTCTTGTGTGATCTGTTATTTGGTTATTAAAAGGTAGACTTATGAAAAAAATATTTTATCAACAAAATGGATAAGGCTTGGGCACCACTGCAGCTGTTATTAACTGTACCCACATAAATGAGTTCCAGTTGGCTTGTTACCGATCAATAAATTGGTAGAGTGCTGCACTGGTATTGCAAAGGTTAACGGTTTGAATCTTGTACAAGCCTGAATTTGACACTGTCAGTGATTTTGTTACCTCTGCATCTTGCATCCCTGATGCTTAAAAATCCCCAAAGATGCAAAATAATTCATGACATGCATCCTGCAGGATGCAAAGATCAATCAATCGATCTGAACACGTGTATTTGTAGAAATATCCTGTTCGTGTAATTTCTGTGGCAGTCATTATGGCTGTTATTTAACAATTTGCATATGTCTTTTAGCCTTTGTTGTGCTTTAAAATAGAAGGACTATATTTTAATTTCTGTAATACACTGAGTTTCGGAGTCTCTTTACAAATTGTCTGGTTACATAAAGGCCTAGGCATTTTCAATTTCGGACTCATTGGTTCTGGCTGAGACTCACGATTTTTCTCAAGATGAGTCCCAGGACCGTCACCATAACCATCTGTAAAAAAATCACTGCACTTTACCCACAGTATAGAAACAATGTTAAAATCCTTTAACCCTGCTTGAGGGTGTTTTACATCAAAAATCTACATGCAACATCAATGAATGCATGGTCATGAGAATTTACAACTACACAAGATATATTTTATTCATTTGATACTTTGACAACTTAGCCTAGGAAATGATTATTGTAAGTTCCAGCCATCATGTTTTTACCATCATGATATCAAGTCTGGACCTTCCTTTCTTCATTTTGTATTCAAAATTGTCAAGTGAGAATTTACGAAAAATAAGATAGGGTTTAAGGTTTAATTAAATCAGATCTTTTAACCCAAATTTGTCAGATTATTGTTTACACACACACCGAAAATAAATACCATAAAATTCCAAAAATAAGCCCCTCCATGTATAAGCCCCTCCAAATATAAGCCCCCCAAACCAGTAACGCAAAAAACCCTCCATTAAATCACCTGTCCAAATATAAGCCCCCCAGTGGTTGTACTTGGAAAATTGCCCTCAACTGCAAAGTAAAACGGTAAGTTTACTTCCAGCTATAAGGCTAGCCCAATCAATTTTGAAATGCAAAGTTCCCTTCATAGATAAGCCCCTCCGAATATAAGCCCCTCCAAAAATAAGCCCCCCAAAAAGGGCCTTTGAAAAATATAAGGCCCGGGCCTTATTTTCGGAATTTTACGGTAACTCATTTACCCTGTAAATGTAATTATATTTATTTCTATTTTGAAAACAATTATTTAGCTCCATTTCTAAAAAGGATGCTTACTGGTGTCCAAAGTGCTGCAACACCAACAGGTTGCTTCAGAACAAACAGTCTTCGTGAAGGGCTTGGTGAAGGAATAACATCACCACACACTCTCTTGGCCTCCTCTGCAAACCATTCAGCATATGTAGCTGCATACTTCACTTCACCTTTAGCTTCAAACAAAGGTTTTCCTTGTTCTGTGGTAAGCAACTTGGCCAGCTCTTCTTCATGTTGTAAAATAAGGTTGTACCAATTCCGTAACTTCTGGCTTCGTTCCTGCCATGAGATTTACATGGGCATCATTATTACCAGTGTTCTATTGTTGTTGTTAATGCATTAATCAGCCTTCACTGAGGGAGAAGATCTTTGTTGATCGATCTTCCTACAGGATGTGGGGGAAACATCACTGTGTCTTATCTTGGAGTCATACCCTGGGGATTTGTAACATTTGGTCCTGTTGATATTCAAACAAAGATTCCCCACATTGGACTAGAAAAAGACAAAATTAAGCTGTTCTTTTCAGTCCTTGGTTTTGAATCCCTTTCAGGTAACCCAATGCTGAAGTTTACTAGCAGGAAGTAGTCATGAAGCTGGCCTACCATAGGCCAGTCCCCATTTTCACATACATTTACAATTGTACTTTTTCTCAACAGTTACTGATGTTGCTTGTTCACCAAGCAACTGGTAACAACAAGACGCTAGACTGACGGTTCGCTCCACATTTTCAGAATTTTAAACTCCGGAGATAAAGTAAAATAATTTGCTACCACTACCTTAAAAATTCAAAAATCCTGGTAGCATGACCCTTGCTTAAAAGAGCATTTAATTATAATTATAACTATAGATACAAAACAAACCACATAAAACCCTGGAAAATATGTTGGTTCAAGTTTTGGTTGATAGACTGGTGCGCTCATGTCTCTAGGCGGTAAGATCTCATTGTGGTAAAATTAATCACTACGGTGATAAGCGGGAGGGGGCAGGGCATTTCTGTCAAATGATGTGCAATTGAGAGGAGAGGACAGGATCAACTCCCCATGAGCAAGATGGCCAACTCCTGAAGAAATTTTCCTTGTCAAAAGTGTCTTGTTTCCAAAGAAACTGTTGTGTTGCGTCGGTGGGGAAGTAAAAAACAAAGACTTGGTTTTTATCAACTGAGTTGATAAGGAAGATTGCACCCGCCGGAGGGGGAAAGCCCCAGCCGCTGCGCATGCAGTGGCCAATCCATTCAGTTGTTAAACCAAATGTATTTCTTAGTTAACGTACATTTGTGGTTACATTCTTCCATGACTTGAATGCATTATAAGCCTGGATCACGGCTTCCTCTGCATCTGACCGTCCCATATTCGCTACTTTTCCGATCTCTTCGCCAGTCGCAGGGTTGTACACTGGGAATTTTGCGTCACAGTCCTTCCATTTCCCTCCAATATACCCACTGCTTCTGAAGAGCGCCATTCCTCGTGTAAACTGCACCGTCATTAAAGGCAACCTAACTCTCAAGATTCTTAAGACCATTTTTCCATGGATGCCAATAATCATCTGCTAAATATCATGGATCCATGTAAATATTTAACTTTAATTAACCGAGGCCGCCATCTTTGAGTTTTCGCGCTAACCAATAGAAGACTGGGCCGAATGATCCTCGTTTCTATGGTGAGGAAATATTGGTGATAATGGCGGACTCACTGGATTTGAATAGGTAACTTATATTACAAGAATTATGACTTCCCTGAAGAATTGTGATCCCCAGTTAAGAAGATACCTGCTTAGCAATCGACTTCCAGACGTCTTTGAGGTATGAACACTCTTTCTTAGCTTTTGCACATCACTTGACCCTCAGAGAAAAATCTCTTCTGTTTTCGCTCTCATGGCCGTGCAGGAGATCGAAAGCAAATCCAAAAGTCATTTCATGTAGTATGCAAAGACGTAAGTGTTCAAAGTGACGGCAGATCACTTGTAAATTGTCTTTGTTCTCGGGTGATAGTGTAACTTATCATCATTGCTCATATGCATTTCAATAACGACATCTCTTCTCAAAGTTTAAGCTTAAAAGGTAAGGTAGCAAACTTATAGAGCAGACGTCAACTTTGCATAATTTCAAGCTGGCATACCCTGTACCTGTCGGCTGTATATCTTGCCACAGCGCTTTTGGTTTCTTCAATTCATACCTGTTAAAACTTCAACATGTATGGCTGGCCGATGAGGCCTTGTAGCCGGTTGGCCATGTACATTGTAGGTTTATTATCTGAGTGATAACTGGTGATAAGGCTTTGTTGTCATATGACTTGCATAACAGGTGCTTTGTACTATGAATCTAGAGAGATCTTACTTAGTTTTCTGTTTATTTTGGTGCACAGAAGCTTTAATTACATAGTAGAAACACAAATCTATGTGGATGATGCTAATTTGATTTTAACATCCTACAAGTTTAAGTAATAAGACTAAATCTCTACAATTTCTTTACAGCTATTATCAATCCTGAATGCCAAAGAGCATTCTTAGTGCCACAAATTGTTTTTTTTTTAGGAGGGGGAAATGCTTTCTTAGATAAAATTGAATAAGATTACAAATTTTGCAATTGTTTGCTCTTACCAGGGTACTAATTTGAAGGGAAAGGTTATTTGAAGTTGGGCACTTATTCAAGTAATTTTAATAGGTGCAAGTTACTGGCCACACAATGGAGATGGGTGATGTGAGCATTTCTTCTAGTTAATTTATTTATCTCTGATATAGATCAAGTCATTCTTGCTTTCATATTTAGATTAGAGGTTATTGTGGTCTAAAAAATTGGACTTAAAGTTTAGCCGAGTCTTTATCAGATATTCAAAAATGCATAAATAATTCATAATGAAAAAACAAAAGAAAAGAATGTTTAATGAGTGTCTTTATATCTGATAAAAACATGGCTAAACTTTGTCCAATCTTTTAGACCAAAATAACCACAAATCTAAATTCGTAGTGCAAGAATGAGTTCATCTATATCATAGATTTTGAAGCGTGTCCATCCATTATAGATAAATCACTGTTGTTAATTATTATTTTCTGTTGTTGTTTTCTTATCAAGACACAGTTAGTTCAAATTTTTTCGTATTACAGTCGAACCTCTCAGTACGGACACCTCTCTATAACGGACAGTTTCCAATGCCGTGACAAAATTCTGATATAGTTTCTTTAAAAAAACCCTCTATAATACGGACTCTCTCTAATACGGACAATGGACACTAAATCTCGGCCCCAGAGAGTAAATTCGTATAAACTTAACGTCACACTGCGGTGATCAGGAGCCAATCCCGAATCCCGATGAGGTGAATCTGCAATGGGTGAATCCCATCTACATGTAGTCTGGCTGATGAGCTATGCAAGGTGATATAAAGCCCAGTCGCTGTAAAGTACCAAACAACAATTTGCAAAAGGTGTACAGAGGAACATAACCAAATTTTTGAAGGCTTCAGTAACTACATAATTGTAGCATAAAGATCTTTTCTATTACATTTTGTACTCTTAACTAGTTACTGTTTACTGCACTTGCAAAATAGCAAAAGATGCTTTCAGAATTGTGTTACAACTTTTTACATGCAGCATTACACTGTAGCTCATTTCATTTTGAAACAGTAATTTGTCTGTAGCTAAGATGTACAATGTTGTATGCTACTGAAAGACAGTGTCTTTGTACTGTGATTTAATAACTTTAAATGCAGTTTAATGACGAGTGTGAGCCTGGTTTTAGCTACTGAAAACTTAAAACCGTAAGTGGAGTCATAAAAGTGACATCATCATGGTGACCTCTTTTATATGGACACCTCTCTAATACGGACACTCACTCTGTGCCTCCGGTGTCCATATTAGAGAGGTTTGACTGTATTGCCAAAAGATAGCCGTAATTCTTCTCAAAGTGTTGTAGCCATTGCATTCAAACCAGAAAAGTTATGACATAAATTTCATCATCAGTCAGTGGGCCTGTAATAACAACAGAGCCACCGCAAGTCATTATTCATCAGTTTTAGGAAGTGCCCTGGCTGCACTGTTACCTTACAACAAAATGTTTTTCAGCAACATGTGGCTCCTGTGAAGCTCTTTTTCATGATCAGTGATCTTTGGAGGAAGCCACTGCTGCAGCTGCTCAAAATGTTTGTAAAAGTCAGTTCGTGGGCTTTCATCTTTGCAGCACTTTATTGCAATATACAGGATGATGCTTATTGGACTAACATACAGGTCGTTAACACTCAAAAGTCCAGCAATGCTTGGATCAACTTGGCTGAATTTTTTAGCTTCATATGTTGCTATGACAACAGCACAAGACCAGTGACACAGATCATGGAGACATTGAGCTTCAGCGAAGATCCTTTCAGATTCCTGAGAGCACAAATCAAGTGCCATGTCTTTATTACCACTTGTGTAATACAACAATGATTTACATGCACAAGTGAGGATTCCATTATCATCAAATCCTGAAGGATGTTTTAATATTCCCGCTTTTGCAATCCAACTTTCTGCTTGTGTCAACAAGGCCTGATACTCTTCTTTGTTTGAGTCACATTTTGATGATGCCATATGCTGATAAATGTCACCAACTGCCAGATACACAAGTTTCTCATATGCATATTTAAAATTCTGATCTCCAATAACCCTTGGCAGATCGTCCAAAACTACTTTAGCTATTGAATCTGGATTATTGCTTTGTATTCTTTTAAAGAAAAATCCTTTTAGGTCGCGCAAAATTTCTGTCAGATGCATGGACTCATAGTAGTGTTCATAGTGTTCAAAACTAGATCGTTTGTTGTGAGAATTCACCTGTGACAACTGAGATTCCGCATTGCTTGGAGAATCTGAATTCTTCAAGATTAGATATAGTGTGACAAAATCAGCGCTTTTCTTGAAAGTTGCTTCCGCTAGTTTAGATCGCAGCAAAGCCAGAGGGAGGTCATTCATAATTGATTCAATCTTAGAGGCAACACGTTTTCTTTGCTCGTCGCTGAAATGGTCCATCATGTTATTTGAGGGAACAAAATAATTTGGACATGTTCCTTTCATTGTAAATGACATCAACTCTGTCATGACTGTTAAAATACAATGCAGTATCGTTCTTTCTTCCCAGAAATTTTCGGGTAATTTTTCAGACAACCAAAAGATGGCTGTTTTAATGTAATACGAGCAAATTACCTTTGGCTCTAGGTCGAGATTTTCTTTGCATAAAGCTTTGACCGCGATATAGCATTTTGTCTTTACATCGTTCCAGGAACGGACTAGAATCTTTTCAGCAAGTGAGAAAGACAATCTCCACTCTTTGCCGCGGTCTGTACTCAGAGGGTGACCTGCAGCAACATATGAGCATCCTTGAGCCACGATCTTGTCTACAATTTCAGTAGCTGGCTGATTTAATGTTCTCACACGGGTTTTAAATTCCGTTGCGACTTTAGGCCACTCGTAGCACGGTACAGCAGATACGAAATCCTCATTGTGCTTTTCATCTGTCAGAGCGGGACCGTGTTCTGTCAAACGATTGAAAAAGGTGTCGTTTTCATCACCTTCTGGATCTGAATACAACATGAACGCTTTAACAATATCACTTCTGAGAAATCCATCGTTCTGCTTCAACTGCAAGTCTTCATTATCGACATTTTCTGGTGAATTGCAACGTAAATGTGCATAACCCGGCCGGACCTCAGTTGCGACAAAACATCGTATTTCATTGTCTCTCACAACAATGTTTGAAGAATCATCGACAACCCTTAAATTGTGGTTGACATACATGAAATCGTCATCGCTCGCTCGATCGATACCTTCCGCTGTACTACCAGTGTAGTGAACAGTAATCGGTGATTTTGTTTCGTCTACAGGCTTGTTGAAAAAGTACTCTTTGAGATCAGATCCATACCTTAAAGGTCGACAACCCGGCAAAAATCCTGAAAGTATAAAATCTACTGTGTCGTTTAACGCGGGAGAGCAAAGCGGCAGGCAATCTCGACTAAGATTTCCTTCTCCGTCGTCCGCCATATTTTGGAGGTTGCAGTGTGTTTAGCCTATGTACAGCCACCCCCTCCCCTGTTCTTTTTTAGAGGAGGGGGCGACTGCATAAAGGCTACAGTTTGCTCATTCCTTTGGTCCGGACTCACTCCTCGAGAAACCAGCCGTTTCCTTCTAGCGCGACGCGTGAACAAGGAAGAACAAGAATCGCCAAAAGGCGATTTTAGCTGGGCTGCCAACTTTCATGGGTTAGAGGGTGGCTGCACACACTCAGGCCACCAGGCTTGTCGCTGACCATTGCGTGACAACATTGTACCCTTTTGGAAGGCTTTCGTAATAAGAAAATTGAGTAGGTTGTGGCTAGATTAGCCTCCCACGCAGGCCTTTTTAGGGGAGCTCGTATTTCGTCGAAACACGAGCTCCCCTAAAAATGCCTGCGTGGGAGGCTATTGCTAGAAAGAATCCCTCAGAAGGAGGTGATCGAGGAGGAGGAGAAACGAGAGTTGCTTCGGCAATCTTCGGCTCGTGAGACAAAATAGCGCATCTCACGATGAACTTTCGTCCACGGACCTGCAATTTCTAACAGAATTTAAGAATAAAGAACTTCGAACGGCAAGGGAAATGTTATTAAAATTATTTTAAACTCCTCTGTCCCTTAACCTTACGGAATATTTCGATACTAAGGGACTGGTCAAAAAGTATAGGGGGGGTGGGGGGGGGGCCGGAGCATTTGGAAAAGTGGTTGATAAAAAACATATGCCTCACCCCCTCCCTTCGGCACAAAAATGACTGGGTATAGGGGTGGGTGGCCCACCCCCTTGTTAAATCATGAATGTTTGGTTTCCTCTTGATAATCCAATATAAAACCTTCTTTTGTGTTTGACAAAATTTGTTGATACGCTGCTACAACCAATATCAAAATCACAGAAATCATACCTTTCAAGCCTGAAAAGACAAATGTGAAAAACCGAACATTTCTTGTTTCGATGGACGTTATGAGTCTTGACACAAATATACCGCAGAACGAAGGTATATTGAAATTTTCTGTCACAAAGCATTTGAAAATTTAAAGACAACCCATTCCTGCTCATTACTTGCCGGAAATGCTTAGAGTAGTCCTCAAAGAAAATTTCTTCCACTTCAATGGAAAGCACTACCTACAAAACCATGGAACTGCAGTGGGCACAAAGACAGCAGTTTTCAACCTCGTCCCCAGGGCTTTTCCCTCAAAAAATGGACCCACCCATTTTTTGAGGGAAAAGCCCTGGGGACGAGGTTGAGCAGTTTTGATTCCTTTGCCAACATTTTCATGGCATATATTGAAACAACAACGCTAAGCAAAACCATCTTTAAAACAACAGTTTGGAAATCCTACGTACACAATATATTTTCCCTATGGGACATGAGTAAACCAGACATCGAAGCCTTCATTGAACAAGCAAACTTACATCAGCCAACTGTTAAATTCACGGCCGAAACTTCAGCAATTTTTTAAAGAACCACCAATCATTTCCGTACAAATTAAACAAGGAAAATGATTAAAGGACATGCTCATTAGAGCCAAAAAAAAGGTTAACAAAGGGTTTCATGCCCGTATAAGATGTGAGGCCTGTCACCCTTTGCATTTTCTCGCACAACAGGTTTGTGAGTATTTTAGCAATAGGTCCAGCTGGCTGTGTTTTATACAACAAGTGTGGTCAAATGTCTCGTTAGTAGTTAGTGCCTATCTATGTAATAAAATAGGGTGACCCACCCCCTAAGGGTAGCTGAAAATTGCACGACCCACCCCTTACACAAGGCTCAAAACCTCATGACCCACCCCCTCTCTGCTCCGGCCCACCTTCCCCCTTATACTTTATGACCAGTCCCTAAGAGTATAAGGGATCAAAACCTCAGAATTACTAACATGGAACCCTTGGAAGGGGCCTAGCATCGCTCAGAAGGAGGTGTTTATTTTTAACTTGTAAAGGGAATCCCTCAGAAGGAGTTTGGCATCCCTCAGAAGGAGGTACACTTTATTTATGCTTATCATTCATTCAAAATATTTCAGACACCAATATGGCCGCCGTGACGTCATGTGAAAACACTCAATTGAATGTTTTGATCTTTCAAGTTCCACACGTGTTTGCCAAGTTCAGTTGCGTTTCTATACCGTTCATTGCGAAATGAGCTTGTGCGATTCCTATACCTTAACTTGAATGAAGTGTCGCAAAGTCCGATGTAGGTTTCCTTAGTTGTTTGTGAGGCGACTGCCGCTTGGTAAATTATGCTTTCTAGGTTGCAGTTTCCATCCATGGGGCATATGTCTGGTTTTCGGCAGTTACAATTTTTCTTATCTTCATCAGAATTTGTAGATTTGCTCATTACGGTTTCGTTATGGCTAGATATAATTGATTTCACGTTATTCATGCAGCTGTAGCTTAATTTAAGTGTGTTCCGGTTAAAAATTTGCAATAACACGTCTTGGACCAAATAATCCAGCTCTTCGACTAGATTGTTATATATATTTATATATATTTTTTGACGTGGTGATCTACAATGAACACATTCCCCAGGATATTCCTTTCCTGTAAGGAAAACCTTTCACATGCAAAGCAAGAATCGCAATAAGATAAAAGGAGACATTGGCCGTCACACTTGAAACGATTTAAACTTCAACGTAAAAAGAACAGAAACCTTAAAAGTGACCCATCCTACCTTTTTTTGAAAATGGCACTGAGAAAGAGTGCCAATGATAGCTTGGCAGACGTCTTTATTGAATGGATGTACACACACACACGCTCTAGCCACAAACACAGAGAGATTTGCAATCACGTTTTGAAAGGGAAAAAGCTCATCAAAAGGTTTAAACTTCGACAAATAGTGAAGAAAAACCACAAAGGTACTCATCGTAGCATCTTTTGAAGGAGACGATGAAAAAGCACAGTACGCAAGCTTCAAACACATCTTCATTTAATGACTGCCTTCGATTAACATGCTTATCGTTACTAAGTTAATAATTGATAGCGTCATTTTGACGACGTAAATCCCCGGGCGTACTGTCTTACATTAAACTTATCGATATTGCTCTGAAATAGTGTAAAAATTAGGACAGCCGGACGGCACACCCTCACTACAACTTCCCAGAAGTCCCCTCCCCCCCCCCGAGAAAAAAATGGAACTCATTTTAGAGACTGGGCAGCGCCACAGGCAGCCCAGTTAAATATATTCCCTGTAGTGTATTAAACCGGATCTTTAAGTTGTTTAAGTTAACCGGAAGTATATGTTTTAGACGTCCCACAATGCCATGCGTGCTAGGTTGCTGGTGTTGGGATGCCTATTGGCTGGCTGGCGACAGAGTCGTAAGAGCCTTATGGCCTAGTGAAATCAAAAATCGGAGTCGTAAGCAGAGTCATAAGCGCGACGGAATCGGAGTCAGAAGAATCAGAACCTTTCCATTTCTGCCGACTCCGCTTTCGACTCCTACGCATACGTTCTGCTAATGATCTAGTGAAAACCAGATGTTCGGAGTCGAAATCGGAAGAGGAAGGATAAACCTATCGCAATGCACGTTCCCACGCTTTGTGATTGGTTTAGTTCTTCCCGGCTTCTGCTTTCGACTCTGACAATCTGGTTTTCACGAGATCATAGGTGGAACGAAAGCGGCGGAGTCGTAAGCAGAATCGGAACGTTGTTTTCACTACAATCGAGGTCAAAAGTGTTGAGGCCTTTTCAGAGATATTAGTAAAAGTAGCGATCCCTCCCCTTCCACCCCAAACAAAGTTGAATTTTGAGCAAATGAGTGGAAATGACTGCTTCTTTTGGCCACAACATTGCTGGGGGTGGAGTGGGGGGACGACGAGATGAACCCAAAGCTGGTCAAAAAATTGTCATTAGGAACAGAGTCCTATGTAAAAATTACTTGGAAGGGCTTTTTCACACAATGCGAAGTTCTTTTGTCCTCCATTGTAGATCATAAGCTCTACATTTCGGATTACGACTCCGACTCCGTCGCTAGCGAAACCAGCCTTAGAGAAGCGTGCTACGTATATGTTCGGTTTATGTTGAAATCCTGGAGCATCGTACCATGCGAGCAGTGCTTACTCCAGGCCAGACGGTACGCTACGAAGGGAGAGAAACCGCTTCGAGCAACTATTTGCTTTTCCATCGAGCATGCGTGTCCACGTGATACCTGCGTCAAAACGTCAAATGGCAACACTTCCTCTTGTTTCGCAGGAAACATTTTGGAAACATTAGGAACTTAAATATCCAACGACAAGACGACAACGAGAACGTCAACAAAACAATGGGTTTAATAAGCAAAACAACAACTTTGCAGGTGCATCACGCTTTTTTGTCCATTTCTTTGCCATTTTTATACGACTACGACGTGAAAATGCCTACTTTCGTGTTTTATGGATAACGTCAACAAGCAACGACAAAATTTCATTTCTCTTCCTGAACTTGGATATGGTGCCTAGGAATCCAACTCCAGTTGGGTACGCCTACATTTGACAAAGTAAGTAGGTGGGAACGAATAATCCCAATAAATACTGAATTGAAAGAGCGCAAATTCTCAGCAGGCTCGTGTTAAGGCAGCAGTTGTAAGCGTAAGCAAATGGGACCAACAGGTTGCATTTGACAAGTTAATGGAACTGATCACAAAGACAAGTGCATTAGCTTACTTTGATGTAAACAGTAAGACAAGGGTTGTGGTGGATGCATCACCTGTTGGCTTAGGAGCAGTGTCGATTCTGTTGCAAGAGTTGAGTGGAGGGCTATTACTTATGCTTCAAGAGGTCTGACAGATGTAGAAAGGAGGTACAGCCAGACGGAGAGAGAAGCCCTGGCACTGGGGTGGGCTTGCTTAGTTATTTTGGGTGTCCCACTACTGTATGTACTGTTTATTTATTTATTTATAATTATATTCTTGTAAATTCTTTCAGTTGTCTACAGTAGTAGAAATAAACTGTTGTTGTTGTTGTTGCGAACGCGTCAACGCGTACATTTTTTGAAGGAATTTTGAACTAGAAACAGATCATAAGCCACTGGAATACATATATTCACCGAAATCAAATCCTTCCGCTCTTGTGGAACGGTGGGTTCTCCGCTTGCAAGCCTATGACTTTACGGTCATCTACAGACCAGGGAGAACCAACATTTCAGATGCGTTGTCAAAGCTGAATTGTAGAGTACCCTGTGGTGATGGAGAAAACGCAGCGTAGTTGAGAATAGCAATCCTTGTGCTTTGACACTCTTAGCCTGTGCCAGATGGTATAGTGGTATAGTGGAAACGTGTTAAAACGAGCAAAGCGAAAATAAGACGCGCACGACTTGTCTCTCCCCAGCCCCCGCGCGTTTTTCGCATTTCTTTTTACTGAACGACTTTCCACCACCATCTCTGAGCCTGGAACAGGCTATGACACTCTCCGAGATCGAGAAAGCTTCAGCAGGAGACCCAGAAATAAGCCTTGTGAAAGAATGTGTGCGTACGGGAGACTGGAGTGCTTGTAATGTACCTGCCTATTTGCATGTGAAGAATGAACTGTGTTCTTATGGTCAGTTACTGCTGCGTGGTTCGAGAATTGTAATTCTCCAAGTGTTACAGGAGCATGTCATGAAAATGGCTCATGAAGGGCATCAAGGAATTGTGAAAACAAA